AATAACACTGTGGTTGGCTTATTAGTGAAGACTCGTTTAAACAAAAAAATGTCTTTGGCAGGCACGAAAAGGCACTACAAAGAGAATGCTAAAGGCTCTTCTCCAGGTGAATTCCAACTATGAGTATGAATTGCAATAATTCCCTTTTTCCCCATGACATGTTCCTTTTATGGTACCATGTCTGTTAGATTGTGTTATTTTAAATGGTGAACTGTCCTGAGTAGATGCATATAAGAAATAAATATATGCATTAAATACTCAAAATACTCAAAATAATATGGCATTTTATCAGTGTAGTCCTTCATACAATTGCTTGGAGGGACTCCTTTCAATGAGACTTATTTTGAACTAAAAGTGTTTAGGCTTACTGTCAGAAAATGGTTATCTTCCATTTATTATGCTGATTGTGGCTTTAAATTCAGATGGTGTGAAGTGTTATAATTAACAGTTTAGACTTACAGTCCTTATCGTGTGCAAACTCCATTGAATTCAGTGTGATTTATTGTTGAGGAACACATATAAGATCAAAGATGCCCATCAGCTATACATTTTAGCATATTAATTGCTCTTGTCATGCACAAGAATCAATGAAGCAGGAGTTATTTGTATTAGAAGGAATCTTATAAAAGGATTCTGCAGAATTTATTGCAACTATCACAAAATACAATCAGCAAGAAAACCCATAAACCAATATACTGAAAGAGTGGGAGTGAATGTTTCTACATGTTAAATTAATATTTCTTACCTTTTCTAGAGAGCATCTTTGTAAAAAAAATCAGGTAGCATATGAAAGTAAAACAGGTATCTCAAAAACGCACACAGAAGATCTAAGAAAATGTCAAAACCGGCATACTAAGTTGCTATCAGTAGTTTGTCTTGACAGACTTTCCTTTTCTGCCCACAACAAGTCAGTTTTTGCTCACTTTCTTTCAGTTCTGCAGTACAGAAACTAAACTCGCTTGTTACTTTGCTAAGAGACAGGGCTGCATTGGAAAAGAAAGAAGACAGGGTGTGTCCTAGCCTGTAGGCCTCACATCATGCCTGTAATTGGTGCAGTCTTTCTGTCTGAAACCAGAGATCCACCCACTGTCTATCAGACCTGAAATAAAAGAATGAGCCAATCAATTTTTGCTAATAGTACTAAGAATTATTACTCAGAGGTAAGCCTCAGAAGTGACATGCACTCCCTAATTTGAATTACTTTGTATTTCTGGTGTTACTCTGATGTTTGACCTTGTAAAAGTTACGTGGTGTGCATAAGCATACTAAGTTCAACATACTGAAGCTACTGAATCATGACAGCATAAATTAATGCACAACATGCAGGAATGCTGGCCACATTGCACACAAGTTTTCTGTAAATAATCTCTGATCAGTGAGAGTAGAAGTTGTCAGTATAATGTGCAACTGGAGTAATGGGTCGTTTGGGAGCTAAACAAGCCAGTGGTTCACCCAACAAACCATGAGTTAACTGTTGGTTGTTTAGGCTCCAAACAACGTGTCAATCCAGATTTGCACACCATGCTGACAGCTTCCAATCATACCATTCAGATGCTGTTTTCACAAATCAGAGGCAACATGAGTTCCCATGAATCGAGGGTTCATTAACTAACAATTTGCCATCTTTACATGTGAACCTTGACACAGACTTCAATCTCAGCAAACAGTTTAATCTTTCCTAGGTAAGAGATAAACTAGTATAAACTGATACTAATTAGTACAAGAAAACTTTCTTGCCCAAAGACAACTTCAGGCATTAAACAGTTGTTACATTTAAGGCATTTCTGCAGCAGAGCACATAATATCCAGTGCATTATTATTTCAGGCCAGTGACAGCTCCAGGGTTTGCAGGGCCCTTTGGCAAGGTATGGGCTCCCTTCTTCAGTGAATATGCTTTCCCATAATCACTGTCACCAACTGCTATTGCTTTTCATCCACTTCCTCATCACTGAGACCACTTGTATGCTTGTCAGACATTGCACCAGCAAACAAGTTGTCAGTAGTATCTCCTGCTGCTTCTTCTCACCACCACTGTCATCTGGGCAAGAGCAAACAGCAAATGAACAAGCAGGCTGAAGTTAAACTGCCCCCCTGCACCTCATAAACTGTCTCCTAAAAATGATGGACAAAATTGTTCCTCAAATTTTGCAAATTAAATACAATGAAAAAATCATGAAGTAGTTTTGAACACTTCAAGATGAATCTAGAATTATGTCTTCAATGGGCTTTACTTCCAATTAAGCATTGTCAGGAATTTTGGGAATAGTTTGGATTTGTAACAATCCTCAATGATAAATTTCCTTCTCTGTAAAATGAGATTGATTCAGGCATTAAGAGAAAATATTTATAGAGATAAAAATTCAGGAGGAACTATGTGACAAAAAAGCTTTTTTGCCATCTTTCATCAGTTGCCCTCTGGAAAGAATGCAGAAGGGAGCGGGTAAGAGACAGAAGATCTCGGGATCTGCCCCAGCTGAATACCCCTCCCCTCCGCTCAGGCCATTTAACATCAACTGTTCTATGGAAAGGCTTCCAAAAGGGAGAGGAAATATAATGAAAATAACACCACATACTGCTCATGTTCCAGCTGGACTCTTTCTGCACCAGAGTCATCTTCTCCAACAGCCCAGTGTGGAGAATCCTGATTATTGTTATTTTAAAATGTTAATATTGTTTGTTGTGATGTTGGGTTTTTTATGTTACTTTCAAGCCACCTTAGTGACATTTGTATCTTGAAAGCTGACATATCAATAAGTGCAATAAATAAATAAATAAATAAATAAATAAATAAATAAATAAAACCTGGAACCTGCCTTATACAGCATCAGACCACTGATCATTCTAGTCCAGTATAACTGACACTAACTGGTAGAAGCTCTGCATGGTTTCAGGCAGGATTCTTGCCTAGCCCCATTTGGGGAAGTTGCAGACTGAACCTGAAACCTTCTGAATGCAAAGCCAGTGCTCTGCCACTGAACCAAGGATCTTCATCAACCACTTCTCTACCATAAGTACCTTAGATAAGTGATTACAAATTAGGTAGTATTTATATTGAATATTTATGGAAAATCATTTCAATCTGCCTACCACTACCATTGATCATTAGTAGCGGTGATGACATCTTTCAGTATTGTAGCAGTTCACAGTTTTAACAGCAACAAGCTCGATGGCTTATGGGAATGCACTGTAAGAAAAGATTGTTCTGGTGCAATCTTGTGCACATTTAGTTGAAGTGAATTAAGTTGCCTTTACCTCTTGAGTAAATATGCATACGATCAGGATTTTAGCAGAGGCCCACTGTGTGTCTTATAATGAATTCAAATGTTTATGTTCACCACTTTGTAACTATGAAGCGATAGCTTGTATTTATGTAACATAGCTTCTGACCTGAAGCAGATATTCAAGGGTGGTCCTGGTGTGATAAGTCAGCAAGTGATATATGTAAGAACCATAATCAAGATTAAGGTTTGGGGATTTTTGGATGTAACCAACTTGTACTTGGTAAGCATGTAAAACTTTTGTTAACTAAATGTATCATTGGATCAGTAAAATAATATCTAATAAGTGCTACTCTTTATCCACAGTGTTGTTGTTGCTTGTTCCTGCTTAGTTTTTTGGCTAGTAGACTTGGAGTGCGTGCGTGTGCGTGTAGAAACAGAACTGCCACTCCCTAAAGGATTTATAAAACAGACTCCTGAAGGCAATTTGTTGCAGAAATCAGGCATGATTTCCTTCTCTCTCTAAAATATGCAGCTGAATGATGTAGTGAAGAGAGAGCCCTGGGTGTGGCGAGGGAGGACTGTATCACTATCATCACAAAAATCCTTAAACGCTCCAGCCAGAGGCATGAAATGACTTCAGAGCGAGTTGCAAAATGGGTACTTAAATGATTCTCCAGAAAAGACTCCTTTTCCATTTGATGTCTGCAGCCCAAAGAAACTTATGCCAAATAAATAAATAAATTCACATGTTAATGTAATCTAAACAGGACAGAAGCACTGTGACTTAGTTGTTCCTTAGATCAGAAGAGTGGGATTCAATCTGTTCTAAAGGGGGCAGCACTCCCTGGAAATGTCAGATAGAAAGTCATGGGTGCTCCAGGATCCCTCACTGTGATTAGAGGCTCAGGTGACCTCTGTGGTACTGAACATCTTTTAAGAACTTTGGTTAGTCTTCCAGGCATGAGATAGCCTAGCTCAGAGATGAGCAACCAAAACTTGGTAGAAGGGGTCATAAATGACCCCCAGTCACTGTTTTGTGAGTGAAATGACATCAAAGAGCTATGGCCATGCCCCATAACATCATTTGGTTCCCACTAATGTTCTTCCCAGTGCAACTGCATGGAACTGTCTTCTCTCAACTGCTTTGCCTTCTGCCTTCAAGGAGAGGATGCAGAGCCAGTGAAGCTGTTCATCCCAGCTTCACTTTTTCTTCATATTTCCCATTCAGGAAGGGCAAACAAGTGATAGCCAGTGCAGTATAGTGGTTAGGTGTGACTGGGACTCAGGAGGTCTGGGTTCCAGTTCCCACTCAACCGTGGAGCTACCTTTGGGCCAGTCACAGCCCAACCTACCTCACAGGGTTGCTGTTGGAAGGATAAGACTGAGAGAAAAAAAGAGCATTATGTGAGCCACTTTAATTTCCTTTAAAGGAAAAATGGTGGGATCTAAATCTAATAAATAAATAAAGCCCACTTCCCTGGCATTTGCAGGAGGTCCTGCAAACAGAGGTCAGGTTCATAGCTGCTTTCAGCTTATCACAAGTATACAGACCCAGCAGCCCGTGCCTGTGGGCATCCCAACTCATCCTATGTAGTCCCTTGGATCAGGCAGGGCCTGAGTTCCAAATCTTACCTCCTGGAAGAATCCCCTGGATAGGTATCCCAGCTGCTATCTATGCTCTGAGACCAATAATAACAGTAGAGATTCCTTCCTGCTCTTTCCTCCAATCTCCTGTTGGAGATAGCAGCAACAGAGCTGTGTGGCCTGAGCCTGACTCACCTGCACCGGGGAAAGCAGCCACTGGTCTCTGCATGGGTAAATTCCATCATCCTTCAACCCCGCTACTATCTTCTATCTCAGGGTGGACTCATCTGTGAGGGAAAGGGTGACAGCATTCCTTCGCATCAGCAAGTCCTTAGTCCAAATGCCAAATTCCCACTATTTCCAATTTGGAGATAGCAGTGGGGATGTGGAACAGCCCGGGCCTCCTTTCAGCATGAAGAAGTCCTATGCTTCCTTCCAGCATGAAGAAAAAAGAAATTATTGCCCATCCTATTTTATTTATTTAGAATTTTTGTATGCCATCCCATCGCATAGCCTTGGGACAGCAGTACAAATAATACAAATAAAATCCAGATTCACCCTATGGCCTAGTTGTATGATAAATCCATGCCATGATAAAGTCCCAGTTGGGTTACTGGAATTGTATGTGAAGCTCTCTTTGAAGGTGGTCTGGATGATTCAGATACTGCAAAATACGACTGTGAGAATTCTGGCCAGGCCCAGGCATTAGGACTACATTACTTTAGCCTTCCCTTGCCTGCAGTGACTCCCAATTAATGTCTAGGCACAATTCAAAGTGGTGGCTCTGCACAGCTGTGGGGTTATTGGAGCACCTCCTTCCATATGTAGCTACCCATATTTTGAAATAATCTATAAAAGTCCTTCTGCAAGTGCCCCATAATTCTTGAGTTCAAAATGCAGCCACAAGGAAAAGAGCTGTTTTGGTGGTGGCCCCACCTCTGAAATGATCATCCAAAGAAAACTGCCACTAGTATCCAGTGGCAGCTTCTCAGCACCTGACTTTAAGACTTTTGCATTCCCTCAATCTTTTAAATGATTTTTGTATTTGGAAGGAGCAATCCTATGCCCTCTAGACCAGCAGTTCCCATTTTTTTGGTCATGAAACCATTCTGAAGACTTTTCCCCCTCACAGAACCCTAACTCTATCCCTGATTTTTACTAAGCATTGTACACCCACAATGTCCTTCCTTCTTTCATCTGATGCCTATTGCTTGTGTTAGGTCCTAATATAGTGGTGTGTTTTGTGCTATTGTGTTAGGTCCTAATATCGTGCTGTGTTTTGTGGTATTGTGTTAGGTCCTAATAAAGGTATTACCCAAGTGTGGGTTTTGATCCCACATAGCTGGCTGAGGGATACTGGGAGTTGTGGGACTTCTTTTTTCTGTCGAAATAAGTATAGGGTTGTGCCCTTAATTAACCATTTCTGGAGCTCTTTATCTAACAATTCCTTGTGGATCCGACTAAAGGCCCTTCTACTCCTGCATCCGATTACTTGGGAGTGACCATGTAGATGCCCACATGCAAGCCAGCAAAGCATAGGCCTTTGTCACGGAGATGCGCAGCAACTGGCATTATGAGAGATACTCCTCTGGAACTCGGAGGGATTATGTAGGCACCGTGACTTGCAGCCGTTTCCTCTCCGTGAATTTACTCGCCATTCCCTCCGAGTCACCTAAACAAGCGGCCATCTCCGTATCGTAACGCAGAGAAGGCCTTCAGTTAACGATGAGTGCAAACACTCACCCCGTGAACTTGAGGCCTGACCTGCTCTGTATCTTTCGTTCACCGAAACGGCTGCCTCCTTGGAAAAGCCTTCCGCCAGCCCTTCCCTTTTAACTCGTATACTGTTGCTGTTGAGGGACCGTTATTTATTCCTCTCTCCCCTGGGGCGGGGCAGAGGGATATTCCTCGTCCGTCTGCAGCAAACGAAGACTACAACTCCCATCGTGCCATTCGCGGTCCCCCTGCTTTGTGATGTTACGCCGTCTTCAGAGGAAGCGACGAGCGGGCAGTGGGGAGGAGGGGGCGAGAAGGTGGCGAGCGAGAGTATATGTAGATCTCGCGAGAGTGCTGCGAGGGAAGGGGACAGGGTGGCGCTGTGCGTACAAGTTTGGGGTCTGGTTGGGTCGGCGCGCCACTTGGGGAAATCGCCGTAGCAGAGCGGGGCGGTCACGAGCTGCGGTGGGCGGATCGGCCTGAACCGCTTTCTCCTGCATCTGTGGCCCGACAGCGCTGAGTAGCTCCTATGGCGGCCCCTGCGGCTGAGGAGAAGGCGGTGGCAGAAGCAGCAGCGGCAGCCCCGAGTGACCGCTCCCCGAAAGAGGAAGGGGAGCTGGAGGACGGAGAAATCAGCGACGACGACAATACTGATGGGCCTGTGGAGCCCGGCAGCAGAGAGCAGAGCGCCGGAGGCACTGCGAAGGGCCCGTACGCCCGGCGTAGGCCGCCTCCCGACCTACGGAGCAGCCTCCTCCTCTCTTCGTCTCGCCGCTTCTCTCTCTCGCGCCACCAGCCTCCCCCTGAGCTCGGGCACCTCCATGGCCACAGCGGAGGTGGAGGATACCGACTCAAGGAGCCTTTCCGGCCGCACCCGCCGCCGCCGCCTCCCTCTTCGTCGTGCTCGCGGCTGCCGCCCGGACCGCACCCCGACCCCGGCGCCAGGCTCTCCTTCTGGGAGCGCAGTCACAACGCGCTGGACCGGTTTCGCTTCCGAGGCCGGGCCTACCGAGGCGGGGGCCGATGGGGCAGGAGCCGCGGCGGCAACCCCCCAGGAAGGCCTCCAGGAGGAGTGGGTGGCGGCGGCGGATACAGCGGCAACCAGGGCTGGAAGGAGCCTTCGCCACGGAAATGTATCCTTACTACGAGAGTATTGGAATTTCTGCAGCTGCTTTCCCTCAGGAAATGGCAGGGGTGGGGGGTGAAGAGCTGTTAGGATACGTGACGTGTCGTGTTTCTCTTGACCAAGCTAATGATCTGACCACTAGGGCTGCTTGACCTCGGCGAAGAGCCTGGAGGAGGCCATTTGCCCTGTTTTGCTGGCTCAGCGTTGGGTGGAGGCTGTGGTGACGGAAGCACGTAGAGTTAGGCTATCTTCTCTCTGCAAGTGTGATAGAGGGACTGAACGTAGAGTTACTATTTTTGAGGGAGCGCGTTTTAAGGAGGTTTTGAATAAGTAAATCTTGCCTCACTAAAAGATACATTGCTGGATGGGGTTCTGAAGTATTAGGCATCTGTAAAGGTGCCACCTCAGATGAGTCACATTTGCTTTCAGATTGGTGTTGCTTGAGTGTTGAAATATAGAGCTTAATTTCACAGTTAAGTGAATTGTTGTCCATAGGATCTAGAACAAGTCTGGTGTGTCTTTGGTTGTGGTGATAGGACATCTAAGAAATGGGCTAACCAAACTTTTAGACTTATATTCACATTCAGTGTATTGTTTTTAGCTTTGCTTTTGTGTTAAGCATTGCTTTTAATTTACTATGATAGTCTTCTTGTTATGTGCTGTCAAGTCATCTCTGACTCATAGTGACCCTATGAGTGAAAGCCCTCTATAATTTATTGCCCATGACATGACTGCTCCACTGGATGTTCTTGTTATATTTTTCAGTATGGTTTATTCTAGGAAGAGAGGGTATAAATGGCCAAATAAACAAACCTTTAAAATGTTACACATTGTATAGTTGGATAAAATACAGAATACAAACTTGGATATGATATTATAGTTATAGGCACTTGAAAATATTATTATTGATCTTATAGAATGCTTCAGGAGTCTAACCAGGATTTTAGTAGTTCAGAATCATAACATTAAAAACAAATAATGAAACAGTGTTAACAATATACATTTAACAATATTATAAATATGACAAATGTAATACATACAACAAATATAATAGGTGGGAAAAGTTTACTCCTGAATATACTGAATTACAGAATTAGGGCCAAGATCACTGGAGAGTAAGAGATTGAAATTAGTAGCATTTTCACATGCATATGTATGGAATCATGATGCACAAGTTTTTGTTGATTTTGATTATATCCTCTAACAGTGGCTTGCACTTGCAATTAAGTTTGAATGCCAGTTCAAGGAGTCTACATTGGTTGAATTCTAGAGGATAGCTATTTTAGTCTATTGCAGCAGAAGCAATGAAGATTGTTGTACCACGTTAAAAAAAGCTAAAGGTGCAGTCCTACAGAGTTGTTTGCAAGCCTCAGAATTCAAAGGTTAACACCCAAATGCAGAGCAGGAGTGGTGGCAGAGGTGCTCTACACCTCCCTCATGCCTTCTGCTGTGCATTTTGCTAGATAGTCATCCAAGTTCTTTTCTTGCAGTGAAGGAGTAAGTATTGTAGTTCCCAGGTGTAAAGTTGAGTGCTGTTTCTGACTTGGATCCAGGAATCCACACTATCCTAATGACCCCTCAAGCAGTGTCTGCAGGCCATAGGATCATTCTCTAATAAACTTACTCTGACATAAACTTTTGAGGACTATAGCCTGCTTCATCAGTGCCATACTTCTCTTGAAATGGGCTCTAGTATACAAAAGCTTATGCCAGGACAAATGTGTTAGGCTTTTAAGCTGCCACAAGACATTGTTGGTTTTTCATTTGTTGAGCATTGTAGGATTCTCAGGGATTCCTGGGATGATTAATATCTTGAGTATTTACTACTTGAAGTAAACCTTTTGTGTCTGAACTTCATTTAATTATGACACTGGGTTCTCCTGCATGTTGAACAGGGTGTGGTTCCTGGCCTGTGTCCAGTTTCAGTTTTCCACATGAAATGGAAGAATAAAACTTTGTGGAAGCATATTCTAAACTGTAAAATGACTAGGCTTGTGTGGGCTCTATGTCACAGCTTGCCCATCTCTTTTCTGTGTTCAGAATGGAAGGATTGAAAGTGTTTAGAATAATGACTCTTCTCAGTTGCTATTTCCCTCTCTCCCATTTTCATCTATTTGAACATGATACACTGCATTCAGTTTCAATCCTATTCAAAGGTGGTGCTATAAATTGGCAAATTGAGTAGATTTGCTTACATGATCACTTGAACACACATCTACTATTGTTACATGGTAGATAGAGTAATAACCTGGAATATGGACACCTGAGTTTTAATCTATAATGATAGAGGAGAATGCCTGGGTAACAAGTCATTGGGCCAGTTTGTATGATCACAACAGCCTGCTGTGGCTCATGTTTGAATATTTAAATCTTACTGAGTAGCAGGGGTTATTGGAAGGGTACAAACTCCTTAAATAACCCTAAAACAAAGCATGAGTAAACTCACAGTTAGCTAACCTGGGTGCCTTTCAGAAATGGACATATGACAGACATGTGGGTTAAGAGATGATGTGCTGTTGTTTGATTTGAACCAAGTTGCTCTGTCTGTTCCTTACTTTATTTCATTAGAATGTTGTGCCATTAAAAAGGATACCTCCGTGTTTGCCTTTTCTGAAGCTCAGCTATTTAAACTTTACCTTCAGGATAGGCAATTGAGCATGGTGGTATGACCATTGATACCAGAGCAAACATTTGTTTAATTCTGTATATTTCCTATGAAGGCATAAAAAGTGAGATGACTTCTTAAGAACAGTTGCTTTGGAAGATGGATACAGATGAGTGTGTTTTAAACAGAGCATTCCTAGCATAAACCCTAATGACAATGCTTGTGTAATGTTTTCAGATGTTAAAAGCATGCCATGTACCTTATCTAACTTTGCAAGAAAATAGTAGCACTTCTGAATTAGGTATAAGTTGTACATTTAACAGTTTTGTAATATTTCCCATCCAACCTTGTTACTGCCTCATACCAAATATTAATCTAAGCATGTAACTTTCACACTCCCACATTTTCATTTGCCAGTAAGAAAGCCACTGGGATAGTTTCTTTTGAAATACTTTCTAGGAAGCTTTAAGATAACATAGAGGTTGTGGGATTTATGGATAACTGGCATAAGTTAAAAAATTAAACTTACCTTGGTACAGAACTTAGTTTCTTTTTGTTACAGAGTATATCCATGTCATAAATAAGGGTAACTTCCTTTTTTCAGATTCTGCATTAGGCTAATGATGAGTTACATGTAAAGCATTAACATGAGTGAAAAAAGTTTATTTTAATCCTTAAACTTTGGTAAATCTGATACCAGCTTATTTAAATAGGAAGGAGGCCAAGTATTTAAAAGCAGATACCATAACAGCACATTCAGTAGTATTTTTAAGGCTGTGCTGTTTAAGGTTAGGAATTTGCTGAAATAGATCTTGGAAGAAAATAACTTCTAGGTAGTGGAACACTCAGGGAGGGAAATAATCATGATTGGTTGTGGCAGTGCATGTCCCCAGGGTATTTCTCCAAAGCCCAAAAGAGGAGGTGGTTATAATGTCAAGCCTAAGATGTTTAGAGTGAGGAGAGGACACAGTTTCCTCTATTCCAGGACCTTACACAAAGTGTGGCAGCTTGTTGCCCTCCAAATGTTTTGGCCTGTGACTCATCAGCCTCAGCCAACAGCCAATGATGAGATGTGAACTGCAAGCCAAAATATCTGTATGGCCCCAAGTTGCCCATTTCTGCCTTAGATTAAAGCAATGCTGTGTAAGTAAAGATGGAAATAGAGTATGCTTCGTCTGTTGCACATTGAAATATGATTTAATCACTGCTTGGAATGAAACATTTTATATTTCAGTATGAGGCTACGGTATAATCACTCAGGTAAGGAAATTAAATTTCAGTGGCTACATATTAGCTTCATTATGATGATATTGATGACAAATGTGCTCTAAATACTTTTCTTAATAAATAAATCAGCCAAAATGTTTGGAAAATCCCCATCCAGAAAACAGAACTATTCATCTAAAAGTGATAATTCAACTGAAGAGAGTTTTGAAGATTTGTTGTTAAAATACAAGCAGATCCAGTTGGAACTAGAATATATTAATAAAGATGAGAAACTTACTCTGAATAATAAAGAAGAAACCGCTCAGCAAGGCAATGATGAAATAGACAGTCCTGAGGACCAAATAATAATAGAAAATATCAGTATTACAAAGGATGTTATAAATGAAGTGTCTCCTGAGGAGAAGAATAAAGTGTTAACATTTCAGGCATTTGAACTGAAACCTCTCAGGCAAAAGCTGCCTACATTGGCTGAGAGGAGCAAGCCGAGAAAAGTAAAAGATGGAATCAAACAGCAGACACAAAAATCTGAATTATTGAATACCAATCAAGGTAACTATGTATAATTGTTGAAAACTTTTGAGCTTAAGTTTTTGCAAACTTGCCCATGATTTTGTGTATATTTGATAGTTACTAACAAAAGCATTGCCTGATTGTAGGCTTAAAGCTGAAGTATTATGGTTTTAAAGAAACAGTTTTTGCATATAACAAAGTAACTTGCAATGTTGGCAATAATATTATAACACTGTAAGCTCAGAACAACAGTTTAAGCTTTGCCTTATTGGTAAGCATAAAGTACCTTGGAACATGAGGCATTTAATATTTATTAAGAATATTTCCTGCCTTTTTAACAGAATATTGCTCATATAAAGCAGTTAACAATAAAAAGAGAATTCATCAAAATAAAACTGACAAGATTCCATAGAACTTGCAAATTAATTCCATGACCTCATTTATTCAATACCTTTGACATATGTGTTAATTTTCTTTTTTCTATTCCTTGACCAACATATCTCTGCAAGTGTAAAGAACAAATTTAATCTGTAGTGCTGTCACTGTAGTACTGGGGAGAATAGTTATCTCTTCTTGCATAGCTTATGTTGATGGGTCATCTATTTTTCAGCCATTGTCAGTGTTGTGTCATCTAACTGAGGATGTGTTTGCCAGGCATATTTATCATTGCTGTGGATAAACTCAGTCCATTGCTGTGGATAGATTCAGTCCAGACATGACTGTGATTATAAGAGTAGGTGTCTTGGAATCTGCAGAATCTACATTGCTCTTTATAGGAATCAGGTCATGAACTGACTGTGTGAACCTGGTGTGGCAGGACCCTCTTCCAAAGGGCGTTCTTGCACAGTGTCACTGGTATTTTCAGGACTTGAGGTTGACTCACAGAAGTTAGTGGAAGAGTTGGGGTATTGAGGAAGCTTTCTTTATTTCAGTTTTCTACAGCATGGAATTCACTTGCCTGTAATGTAAACAATAAACCAAGAAAAAGCACTTGTGGTTTTCTTTACACACAGTGCAAATAAACTCTTTAATACCTTATAAGAAGCAATTGCTTGGTGGTTTATGTGTAATATGCATGATAACATGTCATATATACACAATGAAAGTTTTTGAATGCTTTATTTTCTTGTGTGACCATTTGGCTTTGTCATTTTGCTTGTAAATATATACTGTTCTCCCTCTTTCAAGCAGTTGATGAAAAGGAACAAGGAGAACAAAAACTTAGCCCTTCAGACGCTGCTGCAGAGAAGGTAAGGAAAGTAACTTTGTTTTCCAATGTAAAATCAAGAAAGTAAACTCTATTTTAGCAAAGTTTCAAATTGCCCTTCAACCCTATGTATGTTTACCTGGAAATGAGCCCTGCTGTGTAATGGGGCTTACTCTGTAGTAAATGTGTTTAATATTTCAGCTGTAACATTTGAAAATTATTCCTTTATAAGGCTGTAAAGCTTTCACCATAGCAAGCCTTTTGTTTCATAAAAATAAATTTGATAAATTTAGAGGCGAAGGGAGAACTTGGATGTTTCTTTATGCTTTTTTCATTTTTCTTCACAAAAGAAACTTCTTGATGAAGAAGAAGAAGTGTCAGAGTTGCAACTAAGACTACTAGCTCTTCAGTCTGCCAGTAAAAAGTGGCAGCAAAAAGAACAGCAGGTGATGAAAGAAAGCAAAGAAAAACTAACAAAGGCAAAAGCTATACAGCAAAAAGTCAAAATCAGTACAAAATCACATTCTGCAAAAAAAACCAGCACTGCAGGTAAATAATTAAATTGGCTATTAGTAGCTTAAAGGGTTGAGCTATGTAATGTTTACTGTTTGGTAAAATACATTCTAGGGAGATTTGCCCTGTATTTGGGGGGAAATGAAACATTTTTCTTTATTTAAAGCTAAGCAAGCGTTGAGGAAACAGCAAACAAAAGTATGGAAAAAACTACAGCAGCAGAAGGAACAGGAAAGGCGCCAGAAGGAAGAAGAGCAACGGAAGCAGGAGGAAGAGGAGGAAAGAAGGAAAAGAGAAGAGGAAATTAGAAAAATTCGTGATCTTTCAAATCAAGAAGAACAGTATAATAGGTTTATGAAGCTGGTTGGAGGAAAGACAAGATCAAAAAGCAAGGTAAATGAGCAAGTTGGGTTCTCTGTAGATATCAGCCTTAAGGCCATGCTGCTTGGTGGTGGCATCACATGAAATGGAAGAACTAATTAGTGTATTGATCATTAATTTGGGGGTTGCCTATCTCTATTGCCCACAGTTTGATAGGACTTGATAAGGACCTGCAAGTCCTGTGTTAGTCTTACCTCAGCTTTACTGGCTGTACACATTGCTATTTTTAGCTTCAATTTCTTGTTGAAAATATTGCTCTCCTTTCTTATTTTTATGAATTAAGATTGTCCATGAACAATTCTGAATTCACAATCTATCAGCAAACCATGTTTTCTCTCACTGGTTGTTTGTGGCTAACAACCTATGGGGCAGATTCTCACAACATGCTAAACTGAACAGTGTTGCTTAGAATTCGCCTGACCCTTGGTGTGCATAATAGTCTGCCAAGTACATCATAGGTAGGGTGCCTCCTCTCTTCTCTTGGCCCTCTTGCAGACATCCCAGGGGACACTGCAGGAGCATCAAAGTTTCTTGTTTTATTTATGTTTATACTATTGCGAAATCTAAACCACACCTTGAAGATTAAAGGGGAACGAAGCTAAAATGTCATAAACTAAATTATCAGAGCATTTTTTGGATAAGTTTTAAAAATCCATAACTCTAATTGCAGTATACCCCCATGAAGCACGGTTCAGCATTCGCAGCCTTAGTCTTTCACAGAATTTTTCTCTGAGTGAGTCCAAGCCGATCTTGCGAGTAAGCTGGTGCCTCCCTGTGCAGCAGCTTACTCGCGAGATCGTTTCCTCCAAGTTTGGACTCGCTCACAGAAAAAGATCTCTGCGTACACACGCCCCTGCCTTGCCACGCGTGCGCCCTCCGGCCTGTGCCTCCCACCCGCACTGCCTTGGCAGCCGGCGCCCATCGCCGGCACCAAATTCGCAGGTTTTTCACAATTAGTGGGTGCTTTAGGAATGTTACTCCCTTGAATTTCGGGGGACTACTGTACATACATGTTAGGGTATGTATTTGTATGCAGCAAAGCATACTAATGTTTTTAAACAGTTTCAACAAAGTCACCCTAAATATTATATGTATCCATTTGTATATCCTCTACCAAATCAGGTACGCCTTTATCTTTCTAGTACTTTAGTACTAGTCTTAGCTGTGAAAGGGGTGTAGAAGATCCATTTAATTTGACCTGGTCTTAAATTCCAAAAGACTGGTAGATAATTAAGAAGAACATGTGTATCACTGAATAGTGAAGAACTTTCCATTATAAAATGTATCCAAATAATTGCCTCCTCACAGAAGGAAGCAGCCATCAGGCATTGCTAAAATATATCAGAATGAGAAGCATTAGTGGCTTTCCACCTCCACCAGTTGGCAGATTTAATTAAGCTAATATGCTTGAAGCATCATTTTTTGCTGAATTAAGCATAGCCTAAGATTTCTTATCCCTTCTGAAATCTATAGCAATGAAGCACTCGATTGGATAAAATGGAGTGTTTGAAGCCATTATTTCATTCTTGCTTAAGCACTATATTCATCGATAATCAGCACATGCGCATGCACAAATGGTAGGCTGATGTAGCTGCTGTTCAGCCTCAATTGGTACTTCCAATAACACAGGTGGCTCTGATGCTGTAAAACAGCAAGGCGAAGCCTACGAAATAATAAATGTTTCAGTTACATATATTGCCTTGTAGCTGTGACTGGCAATTTATAATTAGCACACAAAGTACAAAATGGCAAAAAGTTATCGAGACTTATAAGCTAATCCAAAGTAAAAACCTGTATGACCAAATTTGCAAAACAAATGCTTTCTTACCAATTTTAAAATCTGGTTTTCCCCATAGAGTTAATTCTGTATGTAAAAGTAAGTCCAGCTACAATTGACATGAAAATATGTGCCAGACTCCTTTAGCTGTCACTACTGTAGGAGCCACATTATGTGTTTTAGCATGGCAGGAGCCTGATGCCATCCATTTGGAAAGAGGATCCAACATAAAGATCCTAGAACTGACCAAGGAGAATAATTGCATCCTGAGAAACTGAACTTCTTTTAATATTTGAGTTTCTTTATATTTCCCATATTTTATTTCATTATTTTATATCCCCTAAAATATTTTATTTGTTTATTTCTGCTGACTACCAGAATAAACAAAATAATTGTAGATTGCTGTGGATATACATGATAATTATTGGTAAAGGCTATGCAAAACAGATTCTGTGTATTAGTAAGTATTGAGACCAAGAAAGTGCTTGCAATTGTGCCAAAGCACTGAAAATATTAAGCTCATTTTGTTAGTTATTTTAAGTGGATGTACTGCTTTGTTCTGATGTAGCTCTATAACAAGTGTCAACAAACACTAAGTGTTCTTTAATTTTTTAAAAAAGCACCATATGTTGATGAATGGAAACTGTGGCATTGTAAATATTCATGATTCATAGATGTTAAATACAATCAGCATACCTGATACTCATAGAAAAGCATCATAAATAAAAAAACAGATGGGGCATAGTCTGTCTCATTCACATGCAACCAGGTATGAGTGTGCAAACTCTTACAGAAAAATGGGATATTGCAGAATTCCATAATCCCAGCTGTATTCCTACCTATCTCATATGTATCCTAGAAGAGAAGAAAATTTAGTGATGTGCTTCAAATACAAAATATCATGTTAGGATTACAAAGTCATAGCATGTTTCTTTGAAGAATCAATTTTCCTTAAAGCTACACTTGCAAATAGAAGGCAAATAGTAAGGAGACTTTATTCAATAGAGTGAATATTGTCTGTGCAAAGAGATGGTTCTGATCACTAATTGAGGTTCTTCTGTAACACAGGAAGATAGATGTTTAAGTACAGCTATCCACCTTCCCTGCTTTCCCAGTGTCTTTTGGTCTGGGTAAATTTAAGCAGAAAAAGTGGTTCATAAATAAAAAAAATAGTTCAATAAATCCCCCCATTTATAGAATAAGAACAATTTAAGATGAATGGGAGTTAAAAGTTTAGAATATGTTATTTCATTTAAAAAGTTGGCTTGATGTTCTTGCCAGCAGTTACCAGGCATGCACAAGAAGATCGGTTTGCAGGAACTGTCAGTATGGGATCTTTTGCAGGTGGCATATGACATGATGTAGATTTAACAGTCTTGTGCTAATAGATTTACCCACTGAAATGTGTGGTGATGTAAGGTGGTGGTGGTGGTGTGTTCCCCACCCCCACCACTTTTGGGAGTCCTGTAAAGGTCCAAGTGTTTGACTTCATACTTTTGTTAGGTAACAAGTGCAGTATAGTTTCGTTTGAAGCCTCTAATGCACACAACAAACCTGTTTACAGGCTGTGACAACCCCCTATGGGCAATTTACCGGCAAGGGTCATTGCAATGTTGAGTAGGTACCATTTTTACATGATGTCCATGTGTGCCCTGTTTGCTGTGTCTTGTCATCTATGCAAACTCAGGTGGCAGGTATCGTCTGAGGATAGCACCAGTTCTCAACCCTAAAACAAGCCCTGGGTTGCTTGAATCTTGTCTAACCTTCAAGCAGGCCGTGCTGCCTGAGATTGCACAACACAAGCCAGTGTCCTTGACTTCTGTGCAAAAATGCAACCTGTGGGCATCCAGCACAATACAATAGGCTTCTCGCCTAAATTTAAACTATACAGGCAGTCCCCTGTTTACAAACTAGTTCCATTCCTGAGGAAACAGAAAATTGTTTTTAAGTCAGATTTGTATGATTTGTATGTTGGCCCTCCACATTCACATGTGCCAGGGATGCAGGATCCTCGTGAAAGTGGAAAAATTGTAGCCCCTCCCTCCATGTCCTCCTCCTCTTTGTAGCAAGGAAGTGTCAGAGAGATTCGCCCCTCCAAACGGGTGGGACAGGAAGGCATGCTTTGGAGGCCTCCCTCTCTTTTTTTCACTTCCTCTCTCCATGGTGATAATTTTTAGCAGTATTTTTTAAAAAAAAATTAATGGGCTTTATGGCATTTTGTAAGTATGGGTTGTTCATAATTTGGATGCTCATAAGACAGGAACTACCTGAGTGGAGTCTCATTTCGTAGGCTGGTCATATAAGCAGCAGAATGGAGACCAAGTATGAGATCAGTTCTATAAAGGAAGCCACAGCCTTGAGTTTACAAGAGCTGGACAGGGCTATCAAGAACAGGAAAGTTTGGAGGGCATTCATTCATAGGGTCATCCTAGGTTGGAGCTGACTTGCTAGCACATAAAAACAGCAAGTATAAGAAGACTTTGAAAATCTGCCAATTTATGAAACAAGGGTTTGGAAATTACTGAACTTGGAAAATTTGAGTGATGCTACTCCAATGAGCAATAAGCAATTGTGGAAAAACAGATTCCAGTTATGATTCCTCATTGCGATCTTGAATTAGTATATAGAAAGCTGTTTCTTATAATCTGTATAATAATAATATCTCAGTTTTTTATTTTAATGAAGTAAATTGGAGGCTTCAAGCAGTTTCAGTGATAAAATACTGATGTATTTCATTATGGTTTCTGGGTAGAAAACCATTTGCAAGTGTGTTACATAACCATTTGTATAAAACTCTTTACTGTCCTGACTACATTTTGTTCTAATGGCCATGTGTGGAGAGTTTTTGTTTTGCAAATGTGGGGATGTTTTGTAGGTTTTCTTCCAAGTCTACTTAAAAATGGCTGATACAGAGGCTTTGAAAAGAGAGTATCTTTTTCATACTAATGCCATTGTACAATTTGATACCCATTTGTAACAGAGCATTCTGTGTTGGTTTTGTAAAAACATTTTTTATGCTGCCCCTTACTGAACTTGCAGTTGTTACCTTGCGAGAAGCTACAACATACAGAACACCGTGATTGGTCTCAAAAGCAATGGTAGTCTATACTTGCCATTGGCTTTCTTTCTCTTTTTTTTTGTTTTTTGGGATAAAACTGGCAGATTTTGAGAGTTTAAGAAACCAAATAACATGTTTGTTAACACAAATAACATAAAAATTATTTGTGCAGTCTTCAGATAAAGACTTGAGGCGCTCATTAGATAAGCAGTCTGCTGAGAGTGCTGGAGGGATCTATCAATATGACAATTATGATGAAGTTGCTATGGACACAGAAAGTGAAACTAATTCACCTGGTAAGTATTACCTTCCTAAAAATAATTACATTTCACCCTGTTAATTTTCCTAATGAGGCAATGTGTAGCTTGTTTATTGCATACTATTTTGGCTTATTGGTTTTCTTAGCATTATGACTGTTACCTTAGAGGCTGTTTAAAAGACTATCAACTTCAAATTCAGTGCCTCCTGTACCAATCTTGTATTTGCATAGTGCAGCACAATACAAGAGCCAGTGTGATGCAGTGGTTATACTGTTGCACTGAGGACCTAGGACAGTGATGGCAAACCTTTTAGAGACTGAGCGCCCAAACTGCAACCCATAACCCACTTATTTATCACAAAGTGCCAACACTACAATAAAACCTGAAAACTGAGGTTTTAGTTTAGGAAAAACAACTCACAGCCAATCCAAGCAAATATATATATATCCTTGGCAGTGCACTGACCAGCCATGCGAAAGCTTGGATAAGTCACGGCTAATGAGTCGCAGCACGTGACATTGCCTGACGCCACTACTCCTTTCTGAGTATGCGCATGGCCCCTATGTGCGCTGTTATCCAGTGCTCAGCTGCTGGGGCGACTTGGCTCACATGCTGACAGAGAGAGCTCTGCATGCCCACTGTGGCACACATGTCATAGGTTCGCCACCACTGGCCTACCCCTACCCTTGTGCACACCCCTAACCCTAAAATAGGGGCAATACCATTGAAAATAGGGCAGTTTTGAAAAAGCCTTCCTAAAGTAGTTTTTCTGCCCAGCTCATCATTTCATTTTAAACACATTCAAACAATCAAGATCATACCAGGGCACCTCGTTTTTCTAACCCTAGCCCAGTGATGGTGAACCTTTTAGAGACCAAGTGCCGAAACTGCAACCCAAAACCAACTTATTTGTCGCAAAGTGCCAACACTGCAATAAAACCTGAAAACAGCCAGTCCAAGCAAATATCCTTGGCAGCGCACTGACCAGCCCTGTGAAAGCTCGGATGAATCGAGGCTAATCTGTTGCGGCTTGTGATGTCATCGCCTTGCACCACTACTCCTTTCTGAGCATGCGCATGGCCCCTATGCGCACTGTTATCTGACGCTCAGCTGCTGGGGCGATGCTGGGATGACTTGGTTTGTGTGCCGACAGGGCTCCACGTGCCTGCTGTGGCATGCATGCCATAGGTTTGCCACCACTGACCTAGAGATCCAGGACTGAGTTCCCACTTGCTCCTGAAGTCACTGGGTGACTTTGGGCCAGTTACAAATTCTCAATCCAACCTATCTCACAGGGTTGATATGAGGCTACAATGGAGGAAACATGTAAGCTGCCTTGGGTTCCTTGCGAGAGGAAGAAAGCCAGGGTGTAAGTGTAATCTAATGGTACTGTCTGCTGCTGTTCATAAATTTCAGCAGACCTATTGATTCACCTGTGCTGAAATAACAAAGAGGCAATGTTTCTAGGTTGGCATATGTTCTGTGTCACTGGGATGTTGGCAATCAAGGCATTACTATTCAGAACAGATGCTTCTGACAGTATTTTATTTATTCACCCATTCAAAGAGTATAAGCAACTAATGGTAGAGCCCTCTCAAAACAGTTTCTAGTAATCAATGAAACATGAATAATCCAAAACTGAAGCATGAACCACTGTTTTAATAAGATTAAAATATCCAGCCTAAACTATATTAAAATCTAGTTACAGTTACTGGGAGGGGAGAGGGGGATTCTGTTCAGCAGCCCAATATACCAATTTAGCAGAGAGAAGAAAAATTTTTAAAGCTCTCCTAAAGGCCTACAGGAAGGGACCTTAACACCCCCAGTGCTAGAGTATTCTACTAGCTCCCCGTCTACCAAATATTGTTCTTAGGAGTAGACCTGTAAATAGGGGTTTAGAAGATGAAACTTGTTAAAAGTAGTCTTCAAATAATTTTGCTGCAGATCATTTAAGTTTTTAAGGGCTAGAACTAGCAGTTTGAATTGGGCTTGGAAATGCAGTGAAAACCAGTGTAGTTGACACAGTATAGTTGGTGCATGCTCCAAGCACTGTGTTCCCATGACTGGCAGAATTTCCAAACATTTTCTGTGGCAGCCTACAAAGATCTCATTATAGTAGTCCCATCTGGAGGTAGATTAATAACTAAGATTTTGCTCTGAAAATTCCATTCAGTATTTTCTTTGAAATGTTTTCATCCTGAGGACCATTAGTAAGCACACTGCTGATAGCTGGTTTAGAATTATTGCCCTAAGTTCATAAGTAGTTAGGAAGTATGTAGAATGTGATATGTGATCGAGGATGCCCCTTCTAATGTGAACTTTGTTCATAAGTAAACAGTGAATGCTTGGAAGACTGGATTATTTATAGTCTGTGAGGTCCCACTCACTGCTACACATACTAGTTTACAAATACATAGAAAAGGCTCTGCTGAATTTATTATTAATTACACAGGTAATGAGACTAAAAGGAGTTAGGACATGATAGGTCCCGAGTTCTTTAAACTAGTTCTTCTTTGTGGTCTGGCCTGTGCACTTGCACGGAGTCTGCTGTTGGGAAGCTCTCATAGCTGAGAGCATTATGGTGGGATCCAAGATTCTTTAAAATAGTCCTGCCTTTTGTTGGATTCTTTTCTAGTGAATTTGTACTAATTGGGTTTTTTCATTTCACAAATACAATGGAAATCCTGTCTGTTGTGATGCAGGCGTTCTAGAAAATTTTGCATTATGAAAGCATCAGCTTTCCTAAATACAGCACAATCTGATTCATATATTTGCTTGACTTACTCAGTAAACCAAACTTTGAAAGAATGCCCTCTTCATTTTTACCTATCAACATTTCAATGCTTTCAAAAGTAGGTGAGCTTTCAATATTTGAACTGGAAGGAAAGAAATAAAGTGCACATTGTGTGAGTTAAATCTTTTCAAACAAATTCCAAGCTTAACTTGTGAACAATTTTTTTCTTGGAATACTTGCAAATATCTTAAGGCATCCTACATGGCTTTAGGTGTTTTGTGTTGTTCTGATTTTACATTAAGGCACCAGGAACTAACAAAATACAAATTCTACTATGCCTGTAGAGGTGTGTATGTGCTTTCTAGAGACAGTTAGCTGAAAATGTATTTATAATTTTTGAATTTTAGTTCACAGCAGGCATGTTGAAAGAGTCATTCTTAATTCATATTTGAGATCTTTCCCATATTTTTCTGTGGATTGAGAAGAAAAGTGTAATGTATATGAGAAATTACTGCTTTCTTTTATGAATTCATATTACATGCAGTTTGATGCCCATGAATGGAAATATATAATTAACCCTAAAGTGGTTCCTAAAAATCAAATGCAGCCTCATATATTATTTTTTTGCTTTCCATAATCCTTTTCCAGCATCTTCTCCGATACAGCCTCCATACTTTGATAGCTCTGTTGGATATTTTCCTCCAGCTGTTCCACAAACTTCACTGCCTCTTGTACCACAGGCTTCAGTAAGTGATTTTGCAAGATGAAATAGTTCTGAACTAGAGAAACCAGAAATTAGTAACATTGTTAGGTTTTCCATATTTACATTTGGAAGCTATCTGTACATTTGTACAGATTTATTGTTTATGTTGGTGAATTTCTTCTGGCCCTTTTACTGCAACTTAATTTGCATTATGTAGCAGGATGTTTTCCCTAGTTACTATGGATGTGTTATGAGTTCTGTAGTTTGATTGATAATAATATTTGAAGAACTAAGGCTGCAAAGCTCTAACCTCTTACCTAGGAGTGAGTTGTATTGAACTTAGTGAATATAATGCTGCTGAGTTCTAAGTATATATGTATGGGAGCTTTCCCAGTCTGATACTCTTTTAGTTGAATTAAAAGTCCAGCTTTCCTGGCTATTCACCATGTTGCATGTGTCTGATGGGGTTCAAGTCCTAAACATCTGAACATCACCAGGTTGGAGAAGGTTGATAAAATAGTATTACTCTGTTAGTTGCCTCTTGTGTTAAGTACTTATTCATGAGTGTTTACCATAGAAAATCATTTTCCACAGTGCAGTATTTTGTCTTTGGGATTATTGATCCTTTTTTTAAAGTATAACATCAGTCTACTCTGATGCACAATGAATTACTTAAAACAGCCAAATGGGAAAAAAAGTTCAATTGCTTTCCTTGCAATGTGTTTCAGACTCTGCCACCGATTAACCAAGTATATATGGAAGGAATTTCAGGTATTTCTTTGGAAACTTTGCCACCTCTTCCTCCTCTTCCACCTGAAGAACCTGAACAGCCACCAAAGCCTCCATTTGCAGATGAGGAGGAGGAAGAAGAAATGCTACTCCGAGAAGAGCTGCTTAAATCTTTAGCAAACAAACGAGCTTTCAAACCAGAGGTATTTTATAACTTTTAAATGTAACCACTAGATGGCAGTTGTGGTTTATCCTGGTGGGCAGCAGGCATGCTCTGTGTGTAGTTTTAGATGGTAAAATGAACTATAGGCCAGAAATTGGACAACTTCAGTTTTAAATAGAATACAGAATATGTTACTTAATGCTTGTTTTTTTTTAACCTAGACGAATTCAAGTAATAGTGGTCCACCTTCACCACCTTTCCCTATTAATTCACATTCTGTGCCAAGAAGCAATCTTTCAGCAGTCAGTATTAATACAGTGTGTCAACCTCGTGTAAAGAACACAAAGATTATAAGAGTACCAAGACCACCCCGAACAGTGATCACGGTAATGTTTTTAAAAAACTAACTTCATAAGTCAATGTGCTTTATATTTTATGGAGCTATAAACTATGTAAGGCACAAGCTAAAGTGTAAAGTGCAAATCAACACATTTGGATTGTGCTGATTAAGAAGCTAGATTTGTGGTATACTATTGGTTCTTCTTCATGGTCTCTCTGCATCACACACCCATTGGGCTTTGTCATGGAGTACAAGACCTGAATCAGAGAAAACTTACACAGCTTGGCGTCACGGAGTGGGTGGGAGCCCAGGCCCAGCCCCGGTGAGGATCCTGATAAATGAGGGGGCTCCCTCCCAATCCCTCAGTTTCCTTTTCACTGTGCTTGCAGTTGCTTCGCTGATTCAGACTGTCCACTGCTTTCTTACCTGCTCCTTCCTCCCCCTCCCCAGAGCTGGGTTCGATTGTTTTCAAACAGCACTAAATACCCTGTTCTGAAAGTAGTTTCTGACTCCCTTGTCATTAAAGGTTTCGAAACCTTTTTGAATGAACTGCATTTGGGTGTAGGGAAAACATCTCAAATGGTAGTGAGTTCTGAAAAATGTGGATGATGATAGTTTGAGGAATGCAAGGGAAATGAAAACTCAAAAACATGAACACAGCAGTTTGCATAAAATTTAAACCATCATTCTGTAACATGAGTCAAGGCTTGCTGTTTGCTTAAAATATGGCATTATATGAAACTCTGACTATATCCTCAATCAAGATGATTTTTTTCCCCTGTAGCTTCCAAAGCATAAGTCAGTTGTGGTTACACTAAATGATTCAGATGACAGTGAATCAGATGCAGAACAGTCTAACTCCTCTGCAAGTGTGTTTGGTGGCCTAGAATCTATGATCAAAGAAGCTAGAAGAACTGTGGAGGTAAACAGTGGGTGTGGTTGTGTAATCAACCAATTTATTTTATAATTCTTTTAATGAATGTTTCAAATGTTTCTAGAATAATAGAATTTTAAATCCATAGATTTGGAAGGGGCCCATAAAGCCTCTGTTTAGTACAGGACTCCAGGTTAAAACATCTTTGACAGATGGGTGTCCAGCTGCCTCTTGAATGCCTCCAATGTGGGAGAGCCCGTGATTTAAAACTGTCTATTTTGTGTAGATGTGTGAGAGCGGGAACAATTGGATTAACTCTTTCTCCTGGCTCAGAAGGCAGGGTAATTTTAGTATCCCCTTCCAGAGGAGATTTCCTCCAGTCCTTGGTTCTAATTTCTGATAAAAAAGAGTGCCAAGTGTGGCAGAGTGGATAGACTCTTTTACTGGGACTCAGAAATCTGTTCTAGTCCCCATCTGCCATGAAGCGCACTCAGTGACTTTGGGCCAGTCACTGTCTCATAGCCTAACTTACCTCACAGGGTTCTTCTTGGGATAAAATGGAGAAGAGAAAGACTGGGTAAACTGTCTGATTTCTTGCAAGAGAAGAGGCAAGATATAAATATAATAAGAAAAATAAATAACGGAATAGGGCTGTATGGTTCTGCATAATTGAAGTAAGAGCCATGACCTAAGCACATTTTACCTTATTTTTCCTATCCACACCTGACGTCTTGCTGTGAGCCTAGGTGGCTTGCTTACTTTGGATCTAATCTAGAATGTAGAATGGAATGCTTTTATTCTGCCTGTACTTTTATTTATAAATAAGGAAGAGAAGTTGGACCTAACTCTGATTTTTTTCTCTTCTCTATAAAGTTGGTAGGAAAAAATCTCAGCTCAGCTAGGAATGGTCATGCAAGTTTGGCATGGGTTGCAAGGTCATGTAAGATAGCTCATTAAAGAAGCTAAAGTTTTTGAGTATACTTACTTTTTCAGGTGTCTTCCTGCTATTTAGTTTTCATAGTTCTGTGGATATTCTGATTCTATGTAGCATTCCCTCTTGAAAGGGACACTGAAGTTGGTAGCTCCCCTCCTGAGCCAGAGGAGTTAACCCTACCTTACTTCCTCCTCCTATCTTTTCAGCAAAAAGTGCTTTCAGACTAAATCCAGCTTCCTATTTAGTCCCATTAGGACTTCTCATCCAAACAGTCATAAGATTGTACCTTTAATTCCTGATTATACTTCCTGTATATAATAATGTTGGATCATTCTGTTGCAGGCATCAAAACCCAAAGCACCTTTGAAGTCAGAAAAAGAAAATAATCCTGTGAGAACTCCTGAAGCACTATCAGAAGAGAAAAAAATGGAGTATAGACTCCTGAAAGAAGAGATTGCCAGGTATATTGGTGTTATGCAACAGTAAGAAAGAAAACCACTATCAAATATTGCTGGTTTTATTTTCTCATTCAGAGAGGGCTGATCTGGTCATTTAGTTTATTTGAAGTGTTTTACGTGGTTTGTTTCACCATCCTTTCGGTTTATTACTTTTGCATAGTAACTAAATCCTGAGTGGGCTGTAATTTTACTTTCTCAGAAAATAATTTTCTAGTTTTGTCTGCATATGTATAATTTTTAAAATGTTTGCAGTCTATTCTGATGTTTGCAGTTTTGAAAATAGCATGTTTTGAATCCCTTAGTCGGGAGAAGCAACGCTTGGTAATATCTGAACCTTTGAAGGCAAGTTCATCACCAGTGAACTCTGATGTGGAAGTTGATGCAGCTGGTAGGATAGCAATAGTCACAAAACAAGTTACAGATGCAGAGGCAAAACTCAAAAAACACAAGTAAGTCTCCTCCTTGTAATGTTAAAATTTCATAACAAGTAAAACTAGACTTTGATATTCTGCTGGCTACTGCAAAGTACCCATAATTTTCTTTCATTATTGTTGCTTTAACCTTTTCTCATTCTGAAAAGTTCTCTTTAAGTTTTTTTCTGGGGTATCAACAGCTCATATATATACACACAGTATTGTCATACTTCTTGACTAATGAATATACCTGGATTCATACACATTGACATAGCCTTTTTTATTTAATACAGTGAAACTGTCAAACAGATGCATTTAAAAACAGAATAATACAGAGCTGCACACTCCTAGGATTCAATTAGTATGCAAGGCCAGATTTCATGCGTTTAGATTTCATGGTCCTGGTACAGACCCAAACTCTCTTTTATTATTCAGGATGTTTGACTACCATACTTGAATTTTAAAATGTTGAAGGATGCTGTTTAATTCCTACTCCGTACCCTTGCATTCATGTGTATAATTTGCTAGGTGTTTTAAACATGTCATTTTAAGTATTGCTTCACTCTATTAGTGCTTAAGTACTTGACACTAAGTACCTTTAAAAATTAGCAAAATTTAATTAGCAGCACCTGACTAGTTCTGTGCACACATTCTATACCCATTCTGGGAATTCTGTTTGGTGTTTATTCTAAACATTGTACAGAGCTAGATACTTGGTTGCTTCCCTTTGTATTTCTATTATTTATTTCGATTTTATTTATTTTTCGATTTATATCCTGCCTTTTTCCTACAAAGGGCTCAAGGCAGCTTGCATCATTCTCCTCCTCCGTCTTATCCCCACAACAACAACCCTGTGAGGGAGGTTGGGCTGAGAGTCTGTGACTGGCCCAAAGTCACCCAGTTGGCTCCATGGCTGAGCGGGGACTAGAACCCAGATCGTCTGAGTCCCAGTCCCATGCTCTTCACCACACCACACTGGCTCTCAGTACCAGCATTTGCAGCACATCTGAGGCTATGTAAATGCACATCTGCTCAGAACACCGAGGCTGAAAGGTCACCATTTTGGAAACAAAGGTTGGCAACCGTAGCCACCAGCAAGCTCAGGCCCGGGATGTTTCAGCTCACATGAAAGCAACTTGGCCTAAGTGAGCAGCAAATTGCAGGACTATGCTTAATCAAGAACATACACCTGCTCCCTCTACGCCAAGGTTAAAACTATTTGGTTCCTGTAAAGGGTAGAACGTTCATATAGTATTTTAGTTACTTACTATTATTATTATATAATAATAATGGTTTATGGTTATTATGGTTTATGGTAACATTTTAAAATTTTGTTTAGACATATTTTCAGTTATATGCCCACATTTCCACTCAAGAAGCTAACATTTTATTTGATAGGGGCCTATGTCTAGGAATACCAAGAGCCACAATTTTTATCCAGGTATTTTATAAAATCTGAGGTCTTTGAGGATAGAATTGCTTGATTTCTTTGGCATATAACTTTTATTTAATGTTACTTTGGTTTTAGTAGCATATTTTGGTACTGAACTGTTCTCATTTTAAAATTATGGGGCTGTTTATAGGACATCCAAGCCCATTGTGAAGTATTTAACTCATGCTGATAATGTGCATGCAGGCTATGCGCAGCTGCCATTTTGAATATGCAGCTCCTGCTCACGGGTTGTCATGTAGTGACATGGGCTATATGGAAATTAAAAAATCTTCTCATAACATATGGTCTATTTTAGGGTTATGTATTGTAGGGCTTGCCCGTTCTGCATGACACAACAACCCACATGTTGCTTATTCAATATGGCCCCCTGGGTACTGTGGCTCATCATGCGTTACATGTCATCTGAATTTATTCAGTTTGACAAGCAAGGCTATGAAAATGTCTGTACCTCAAATAGTTTTGATAGTGGCTCTGATCTCCTACAGTCTTTTTGAACAGGAATGGATGTGAGACTTGAGCTCTTTTCTCTCTAGACTTCTCTTGCTGAAGGACGAGTCTGTGTTGAAACATCTCCTACAACAAGAGGCAAAAAAGAAAGAGTCTGTTCGTCTTGCTGAAAGCAAGGTTGCTAAACTTAATGAACAGCTGCAAGCAACAGAGAAGATACTAAATGCTAATAAAGTGTTTCTGAAGAAGCTTCAAGAACAAGTAAATTGACCTTCTCTATAGATATGTGAATACTCAGTCATGTGCAGTAGTAGTTTTTTAAGGCTGTTTGAGCTTACACAACATGCAGTTTATTAGCTTACTGTATGCATATGCTTTGGCTGAAATGTGCTATTTTCTGAAGAATGTTGAAATGCTTCAGATTCACAGAGTACAGCAACGAGTAACCGTGAAGAAAGCACTGGCGTTAAAATATGGGGAAGAGCTTGCACGAGCAAAAGCACTGGCTAGTAAAGAAATTGGAAAACGAAAACTTGAGCATGATCATTTTGGAGTAAGTTTATTCTTGGGAACCTAGTGATTTTTCAACTCATTGTAAAAAGCAAAATGGATTATTGCATTAACTATATTGACTTGAGTTCAAGGGAACTCTTCAACTATTTTTGCATGCAAGAGGGTTTGGGCTTTTTCTTAAATAGTAGCCTTCCTTACCTTGCAGCAAACTGCTTTTGAAACTTAAGAGACTTTCAAAAGGCTTTTGTGATGTGGCAGTGATTTGCTGGATACTTGTACTGTGGTTCTTTCAGTGTTCACCATTAAGAATTTAGGTCTCCCCTTTGCTTTGAGTTATATGAACAGTGAAGTTAGCAGGAGTGTGACTTGTTTTGTTGAATTATGTTGTGGTGAAGCACAAATATGTAGATTTTGTCCCTCTTGTAAAATTGTTGTTCATAACTTTAAAAAAGCATGTTCAAACCGCCCCAATACATTTTATTTAAATTACCTTATACTCCCTGTTTTCTCCTGTCTAAAAGTTCCATAAAAATTCCTTTAATTAGGTCCCAAAGGCCACTTTGCATGGAACATGTAGATCTTGGTCACCAGCAAGAAACTGATTATTACCAGAGCCATGTCTCTCCCAAAGGGGCAGGATCTTGTGTCTTTCTTATACTCCTCCAAGATATAATCGAAGTCACATACAATAGCTTGCTCTCCTTTCTAGCTCTAAGTTTGGAACTAGGGTAACAGATTTCATGTAATGTGGAAACATGCTCCTGCCCCCATTCTTATATGGAGCTTAGCTGGGCAGAAGTTTAGTTTGGTGCTATGCCAGTTGGGCACTCAAGTTCAGTGGAGGAATAAGGCCACATACCTTTTTTTTCCTCAGGCAGAGTAGATGAAGAACTCAGCATGGCCAGGACAAATATAAGGTCACCCGTAATATAAAGGATGGCAAATATAAGGTCACCCATCCCCCCTTCCCCAAGAGGCAATGGAGGGTTGGATTTTCTCTGCTTGCTTTCCACTTACTAAACAGTTGGGTTTGTCATGCTTCCAGGTGGTTGAATTAGCACTTGTCTTGTAAAGCAAAACTTTGAAAGCTTATAACTTAACCATGTCAAAATTTTATTGAGACCCTAAGAAACATGCCACTGGATTTGTGGCAAATTATGCTGTGGTTTCCCTTTTGTACATGTAAATTCTCTGGCAAAATTTTAGAATATGAAATTCAGATGTTCTGTTTTGTGCATTTAATGAGCAATTGTAAGAGACTAAAATATTGCATGTGTTTCTTGGTAGCCAAACAAAATATTGAAAGTGGAGAAATCTTCCTCAAGTCCCCAAAAACCCTCTGCAGAGCAAATTGCACTGGAGAAAAAAAGACTACAGCAACTGCAGTATGAGTATGCTCTAAAAATTCAGCAACTGAAGGAAGCCCATGCACATCAGACTAAGGACCGATCAAATACTCTCCCCATTGCAGAAGAGGAACCTGAATTTGCACTACCTCAGCCCTCCCTTCATGATCTAACACAAGACAAATTGACTTTGGATATTGAAGAGAACTATTTTGATGATGAAGTTTTCTCCAACACCTGTAGAGAACGAAGGCGGTCTTTCAGAGAATCAAATTCTTTTACCAAACCTAATCTTAAGCACACAGACACCCCTAAACAAGAAGCGATGAACAAAGTTTCTAAAAATGCACTAGAAGTACCAGAGCTCTTTTTGGGTCTCAATATTGATGAACTGAAAAAACTTTATGTGAAAGCTGATGGCTTGAAGGATGTCTTGAGAAAAAATACAACATTTTTACTTTCCAATGAAGAAAAATTATGTGGTCAGGTAACTCCTATATTTGATAGGTCACTGTGGCGTGAGTCTTTGTACAATAGAAAATATATCCATACTCATGTATGCACCTCTTTCCTAGGAAATAACAGTGGATGTAGATCTCTTCACAGCGCCAAGTAAACAAACAGAAGGAAAGCCATATCCATTTGGACCATATCATAGCCCTCTTCTTGTTTTTAAATCTTATAGGTATGAATTCTTCACGGTTAAAGATGGCATATCACAAATGGCATATTGAGTGGATGAGGATTATGATTGGAAATAGAAAATGACTGGACATGGAAAGGTGGGGTGGGCCGCTTGGAGAGTCAAGGGAGAGATAGAATGGTACTAGGACTCTGCAAGCATAGCTACATTGGTGATCCTGGTGCAGACAGTGAAACTAAGTGGTTTCTGATAGTAGAAGAAATCAATGAGAAGATGCTAAACACCACTTGTTTTTGTACTGATTGAGTTTCCACTTAGAAAAGAGAAGAAATCAATTTAAATTATTTAAAATATTTTATTACCTATTATAATTTCTCTTATATTATGTAACAGAAAGTTCTATCCTAGCAAGGTAAGACAGCTTGCTGTTTTTCAGCATAGTGTAACAAATGCTAGACCTTACGTGAAAGAGAAATATGCTGGCAACCTTGATGAATTCTCTGTGCTAGCAATTGAATAATGCTTCCAAAGGAGGAAGATTATTGAGGCAGTGTTTATTGATCAGCTGAAACCTGATAATTAGTGTAAAGGTTGAGATGAAAAAGCAATATTGCTTATTAATGTGGCTTGATTGGCTGTTGAACCCAGGTGCTGATTGTTAACTGTTGTGTCTTTACTGAGTTTTGGTTTCTCTCAGTGTGTAAGTGGTAGAGTAGCATATTCTTACTTGTGATGAAAGCTGTCATTTTTGAATTTAATTTTTTTATTCACACATTTTTAAACTGGGTTCACTGTTACTGGTTATTTGTTTTGCTGTCCCATTATATGAACAGGCCTTTATATCTACTCAAGCATCTGCTGCCCTCATGAGTGGCTGAGGATCTATAGTGACCTGTGTATGCAGGGTCATAAAGAAATGGCATTTAAATCCCCTCATGACCCCATCAATGAAGACAGCTTTCTGCAGTATTGCAGATTTTGCCCACCCACAATGCAGAGAGGTCTTAAATGTATGACCACTTCCCTGCAAGGCATACCTGTTTTGTACCTCTGTGGTAAACAGAGACTTACAAGTGGTAAAACCGCCTCTCTAGTGATCGGAGAACGCACTGATCATATCTTGTTTTAAGTTGAGAACCACTACTGGGGACAGCCTAGTGATAATCTGTATATACCTTCTATGTCTTGGGTCACTCTAAAGTGCAGGTGGACTATGTGTTGTCTGCCATAGTCTACCTTGCTCTCTGCCACCTCTGTGAAATCCCAGCAAATCTGTTGGATCACAGCATATACAAGAGGTGTGAACCTTGTTTACCAGCAGAGGGGTAAATTTATGCTGGGAAACAGGGTTCTGTTTCTTTGGCAAAAGAGGTCCCACAAAGATGGCTTCACTTGTGCACTCTGCATTTCTGGCAACTTCTCATTCTGCAAATAGCTCACCAAGCAGATGTGAGCCAGACCGTTCTGGTGGAAAACAAGGCACCCTTTCCAGGTATGTTGTTTCTCAACAGATTTTGGCAGCCACTTCTGGTGGGGAAGGGGAGAGGTAGAGCCCCTGCAGGTTTTTCAAGAGGCCCTCCAAGCCCTGGAAGTTGCCCACCCCTGTTCTGGTGTGAATAGAGCAAGGTCCGGCATATGTGTGGACTCATTTGATCTGTGTAACATGAGAATAGCACAATTATGCAAGATCCTTACACTGAACTATGGTTGTTTTCCAGTAGAACAACGTAAAATAGTGCTAGTTACTAGATATTGTTGGATTATTCTGCACACAAGTTCATGTGGGTGTGAGAGACGGGCTGTGTCCCATTGCATTGATTTTCTTCTAGGAATAGAATGATGCATGATCTAATTTAGATCAAGTGTGAGAGTGTGCACAGACTTGTACATCCTCCCAGTGGTGATTTTGATATCCAGCTGACTTTACCTTAAAGAGTCCTATGTAGGAAAGAAAAACAAGCTTCTATTCCCTTTGGGGCTGAACAGCAGGTGGTGCTACATATCAGCTTATGTTACCTTTCAGAAGGGAAGTGATACTGGAGTCAGATTAGTACCTTTAATTTTGCTTATAAAAAAGACACTTCTTGACTTGAAAACTCTGGTCCTTTTATTTACCCTGTTTAGGTTTAGTCCTTATTTTCGAACAAAAGAAAAGCTTTACCTCAGTTCAGTATCCTACAGCAATATGATTGAACCCAAACAGTGTTTCTGCCGTTTTGATCTAACAGGCACATGTAATGATGATGATTGCCAGTGGTGAGTTGACTATCTATCTCCCCATTCCCTGTCTTCAGTAAAATATCTGTTGCATGAGTTATTGGTCTAGGGATCCAAGCAAATTTGTTCCAGGATTGAGCAAACTATTTATAACAAATTTAACCACCTAAGGCTGGGATGTAAAGGTGTAAGGGATAAGTTGCTTTTATTGTTCCATTATGTTATCCTGCCCTTCCTTAAAAAGTGACTTTCATGGCTGACAGAATACTAACATACATTCAAAGAAATCAGTTATAGTAGCATTATGTATGCACAAAGGGCAATATTATTAGCTTCCCAACAGCCAGAGATCACAAACTGCCTGCCAAAATAGTTTATTCATCTTTCTGAAACTCAGTATGTGGATTAACATGGGTGAATCTCCCTTGGGAACCGATACCTAGCTATTGCAAAAAGAGTTTTGTACAATGTCTGTACGGAACATAAGGGTGGCTCCTTAAACTGTTGTGTGGTGGGTGGCACAATATGGCTTAAATACTTCAAGGTTGTGAAAGCTGTACCTCCCACAAAATGGAATCCAGAGATTTGTGGCCACTGAGTTAAATACAGGGTTAATGTTTGTGGACTTACTGGTTGACACTTGTGCAGTCTGCCACCCCATCTGCTCTGGAAAGGTTTGCGACTGTCCAGAACAGATCTCTTCAGGGTAGTGTCTCTTCTGCTGGTGGAAGGACACCTTCAGATATAACTAGGCATGGAAACAGCCGTGCTGCCACCGTTTCTTAGTTCTATTTTTTCCCATAACCAACATTTAGAACAGGGCTGTTAAGAAGATTACATGAATGAGCTGGAAAGAACTCATACAAAGAAAGGTGACGCTATTACTTTCACTTAGTTTTACAGAGCACTTTGGATTTGTGCAGTGCTTTAAAATGGCTACAATAACTCTTTGAGGCTATGCATTAATTCTCACTTTATATATAGTCTTCAGTTTTTATACTGCATAGAGTTTCAAATATGTTTATTTAATTTTGTTCACTAGATTAAATCAGAGAGTGTCAGCTGTGCCTTAAGGTTGGATCCAGCCCTCAGAACTTTTCTTTTTAATTTTGTGTATTTTTTTAAAGCAGATAAGATAAAGAAGAAGCGTATAATAAAAAAGTGAAATAAAATGGTCAAGAGATTTTAAGAAAACAAAGCAATATATTCATAACCTATATATTTCCAAAGAGACCAAAAATTTCTGTCAATCAATATTCTGTGGGAACTTGAAAAAAGAATGACTATAGTTCTCCGTACTGACAAATTTTCCAATCACTTCAGATCAGTTATACATTATTGACAGTGTTTTAATGAACTTCCTTTTATATAATATTAATTAGACCGAATATCATATTAATTATACTGGATATAATAGAATTTCCAGTTTTCATTAAATTCTTCAGTTGGTCTTCTGTTTACAAGTTAGTTTATTTTGACATCATTGCATATTTTATCAATCTTTATTTGTTGGGCATTCTGGTATTTTCCATTTAGAAGCAATTATAATTCTTGCTGCAGTTATGATGTATTTGAATAACTCTGAGATGTTCTTTGAAAAAGTCTCTGGCATACTGTTCAAACGCATATTCTTGGGATAAATCTTTTGCCCTCAGGACATTGTCATCTGGCTACTGGCAGCCTTTTCAAACTGACATTTTGTCTACAACCTGTCATATAAATGATCTGTGTAAAACAAACTTCTCAAATTTAACTAAGGTTTGAGAACTGGATGATTTCATTATCTCAGCAGTATTTAAAATTCAGTTTGCTTATGAATACTATAGATTTGAAAAGAATTCTCCCAGCATCTCAGAAATACTGAACCCAATCCTGGAATTAGGAGGAGTGTGTGCTTTTTCTGGCAAAGGACTCATTAATTGTTTATATTCTCAGCTTAGAACCGTATGCCTCTGGTACATGGAATAGTTTTTAACACTGTTATGTGTTGTTCATATAATTTTGGTATAATGTTCATTGAGCCTATTTTAACATTGGATTGTTTATTTTTTTAGGCAGCACATGAAAGACTGCACTCTTAGTCGAAGACAGCTGTTTGAGGATATTCTTTCTTACAATTTAGCTTTGATAGGCTGTTCAGAAAAAAGTACTGATGAAGAAATAAGCACTGCAACAGGTAAATTGCTTGTTGATACCATCAGCAAAGCAACCCATTTGTGGGGGGGTTATCATTTTTATTTTATTATTTTAATTATGTAGGAAGTGAGCTGCCATCTAGTGTTTTGTTCAGTTTTTCACTGTAATGTTAATCACAGTGTATTTCAGTATTCCGTTGGGCCTTAGTCTCTTATTAACTTGTAGTTCCTTTGTAATCCTCAACAATTTAAACTTAACGAAAGATCGAACTTCATAAAAATATGCTTACATTTTTATTGATTATCACTGGTGGCATCTCTTTAAACGCACTTGTAGCATCTATACTTTTTTCAGAATTCTGAGTGGATTTCTTACATTGGAATGTGCAGACTTATAAAATTTTGATAGTAGCATGTGTCTTACATATTGCTGCATCCCATTTCAGAAAAATACGTAGAAAAACTTTTTGGTGTAAACAAAGATCGCATGGCAATGGATCAAATGGCTGTTCTGCTTGTTAGCAATGTGAATGAAAGCAAGAATCACAGTAAGTAACTTTAGAATATATCAGCATGGTTTTATGTATGTATGAGTCCTTATAATGCATTCTACATCAGTATAAAATGGCTCTTCCATAAATATACCTCAGGTTTATTTTTGTTGCTTAACAGCCCCTCCATTTACAACTTGGAAAGAAAAAAGGAAATGGAAGCCCACATACTCCAAAAAAATACCTTTGGACAGTGATGCCAGCAATGAAGAGGAGCAGTCCTCTGGCCCTATCAAATATGGTAATCTTAATATAGCACAACTAAATCTGGGGTGTGGATCAATCACAAAATATGCAAAAGAATGTTTACTTGATGACTTAAATTCGTCTCATAATGGTAAATCTGGCATAGACACTTAAGGAACAATCCTATGACTTCTAAGACTGCATGTGAGGAGTCATAAGATACTGGTTATTGCTGAGGCTGTAGGCAGAGTTAAAGCTTTGTAAAGAAAAGGTCCTGATCAAATGTCCACTTCTCTCAGCTGTTGCAGAGAGCTCTGCCATGGCTTCTTTTCTGAGGTTGGTGTTGCAACTCTGGAAAAGGAGGAACGAAATTCAGGGTACTGGAGGATGGGAAGGAGAGACCATGGGTTCTCTGTCTCTGCCCCTGGTTAAATCTAGCTCATAAAGAACAGATGAGGATATAGAAGTATAAAAGTTCATTGTTCCTCCCGCTTTATCTAGCTTTTGATGGAAAAGAGTTAGTTTGGAAGGTAAGAATATGCTTAGGGAGTCAGTCCTGTGCCTGCATCAGTCATTAAGGGTAATCATCAGAGGTCCTTCTCTGGGAACCATCTGTAAAAGCTATAAGGAAAGTCACTACTCGGAAAAGGGCCTTCTCAGCAGTGGCACCCCAACTGTGGAAACTGCTCTCCAGAGAGGTGCACCTGGTGCTGATGCTTTATACTTTTTGGCACCAGGCTAAACCTTTATATTCTCTCAACATTTTAACTGTTGAAATTTCATTTTTTAAATTTTTTATCTAATTGTGTCTGACACTGTGGATGGCTTGTTTGATTTGATTTGCAATTTAATTGATTTTTATTGTAGTTTTTGGTTTATATGGTTGATTTTATACTAAGTGTTGTTGTTAATGAGTTCTATATTTTCTTGTATTGGTTTGATTCTGGTTATTATTTTATGCTGTTGGTATATTTTAATGTTTTTTAATGTGATGTAAACCATCTTGAGAGTCATTCAACTAAAGGGGCAATATAAAATGCTATAAATAAATAAATGTATGTATGTATGTTAATGGCACTTTAGCAATTACCATAAGAATATGAAGAAATGTTTATCCAGATTTCCATTAGAATTTATTATCTCTGCTGCCCATTGTTGCTGATTCAATCTGGTATTTTAAAGTAAACCAGTTTTCCACAGAAGGAGCAGAGCCACTTAGTTTGCTTCACTGTGAAAATCACTCTGCCTGACCCCACCGGTATGTTCAGTTTTAAGTTTATTCTTCCCACAGATGACAGTAATCCTGTGGGGCTGTCCTACTTTTGTTAGTTCAGTTGTTCTCACAGGAGTGATTGCTTTCACAGTAGAGCTTTTGCACATCTTAAATGTTCTTGAAAATGGGTAGAAATGCTTGTTTCTGGGTTGTGACAGGTCCGTGGGTCTAATGCCTGAAAACGCTGTTGACTTGCTCTGTTCCAGAAATGAGCTTTTCTGTTCCTTTTGCCGGGCGGAGAGGTTTAGAGGCACAAAAATCTCATTGTGCAAGCCATCTCTCCTGCCAGCACATGGGCACAATAGGGTATTAGCCAATAGTATTACCTCACCTCAACTTAAAATGTAGATTTGATCTTAATTCTCAAAACTGTGCAGTCTTGAAAAAGAAATGCTTTTATTTGCAGCTCCTACAGTACAAAACAAAACAAATGTTCCTGCTTTGGATGCTGTTGTGACCCCTGATGATGTGAGATATTTTACAAATGAGACTGATGACATTGCAAACCTGGAGGCAAGCGTACTTGAGAACCCGTATAATGTTCTGCTGTGGATCAAATTGGCCTATAAATATCTAAATCAAAATGAAGGGTAGGTGATTCTTTTTTTGCAAACAAATTAGTTGCACTTCCTTAGCTTAGACGTCTCACCTGTGTTTTCATGACTGAAATGTTGTACAAGCATCAAAGGGCCCTTTGTTTCTTTGGCAAAGTCACAGGAAGGTTATTGTTTAAAAGCAGTTGGAAAAAAATGATTAGCTTTTTGTGTACACACTGTAGAGCAAGTAATAAAATATTCTGACACTTCAAATGAAAACATGTTTCATTTCAGTAGTACAAGGACTCATTTGCCAAAAAAGAAGTTACACAATTTAGTGCATTTCTAAAGTTACAGAGAAATAGTGTACTCTTTTTAATTGGTTATGATAAAACTTGAAATATCAGGCAAGAAACAACATCTCGGAAACAACTTAAACAAGAAACCTTATTTTTCTAGTTTGAAAGTATCGACAGCAAACCATGGTTGTAACACAGTATTCACAATCACCATACAGTTACTTAGCATTTTCTGTTCAGGAGCTTCTTTTTCATTTCCCCTCCTTGAAATGCCCTGGAGTTACTTTGCAAGTTCTTGTTTCAGTAGCACCATCCTTCTCCAGCGCCATTTCAGATCCCTCAAACTCTTGTAGAACTACTGAGAAGAAAATCCATTTTGCGTGAAGATAAGACTTATAACATTAAACAAAATGTGGATGTGCAATATATTCTGATTTCTTTTCTTATTGAAGATCATCCTCAGAATGCTTGGATTCTGCTTTAAATGTTTTGGCCCGAGCCCTAGAAAACAACAAAGAAAATTCTGAAATCTGGTGTCATTACCTTAAGCTGTTTTCAAAAAGAGGAGCTAAGGAAGAAGTACAAGAAATGTGTGAGACAGCAGTGGAATATGCTCCTGCTTACAAGATCTGGTGGACTGTAAGTTTGATTCCTTGGAATGCTAAATGATTCCAAAATTGACCATCTTTGAGTATTTTTACATATATATTGGCATAGTATAACACCCTTTATAAATTTAATTCAAGATTTTAAAGGTCATAGTTTGTCTTTTCATTTATTAGACTTTTGTCTGTCAAGGAATAGTAAACCTCTGAAAGTATATCAAATACTGTGTTACATACACAGAATGCTTTTGTGGTGTATTTCTCATTTCCTTGAGCCATTTTAAGCAAAGCAAGATACACTTCTAGGCTAACAGTGCAAGTACTTGCTGTTAAAAGTTAATATCTGAAATATTGCTGTGTGTACATGAATGTTCTTCAGGCACATACAATTCTCTGGATCTTGATCAGAAGTGAGGTGGAACCTCAAAGGTACACACCGCATACTGTTGTTTAGCCCAGTGCGTGTCAGCTTGATAGTTCTTCTTCAAGGGCACTGGTTACCCAAATAGCTTTCTCTACTGTCTCAGGGTAGCTATGAGTTAAATGAAACCTATTTTTAGTGCACCTTTGAGATTTCTCACATTGGTTTTGCATCTGATGCCCACCCTCTTTGCTTTTCTTTTTATATCCTGACTATTGTGTTTAGATTTCTGTTTGGTATGTTAGATGATCAGAGACACGAGAAACATATTGTATATTGTGATAATGGACTTTTTTTGAGAAATAATTTAGATACTTTAGGTACTTCAGTTGTGATTTTGAAATTTTAGTCTACTGAATGTATATGAATGGAAAGGGAACAATTCTTAGATTGTTGTAAAAATATTTTTCTTCCTGCTGTTCAGTTTCTAGAGCTGGAAAACACCTTTGATGGAAAGGATTATGTGTGTAGAAGAATGCTCCAATTCTTAACAGATAAAACAAAGTGTGAAGAGAACTTGGATATTTGGTCTTTTCAGTTGTTGGAGATACTGCTGTATAGAGTTCATCTAAGCCTTTTTACTGGGAAACATCAAAATGCTGTTGCATTATTCCAGGTACTTGTTTATTTAATCTTAGTGTATTAGTTATATTTTTATTCAAATTATTCTGGCATCAGTGCTCAGTGATACTTGTTTATTTCTCATAGCATTGTTGTTTTTAGATTGGGGGTCCACAACATATAAGTCCTGAGTGCTCTATCTGGTGCTAAAAGAAAGACTGGACCACGTGTCTGCAAGTACAACATATACATAGATGTCCACATATGCCCTCCCAATGCACTTGCACGTTCTTTCTTCCTCTCCAGACAGCACTAACAAGGGAAACCCTGCCCCTTTCACTAATTTCAGGACAAGGTTCTCCATGGTTCTTTGAGCCACACTGGCCTGTTCCAAATGGAGACTAGTATTCACTCTGTCCCAGTAAGGAAAGAAAAGAAAATAGCACTGAGGCAGGGATATCATATTACTTATCAGTAAGGGGTAAAAGCAAATTGACATGTCACCAAAACAAACAAACAAACAGACCTCTGTGTGTTCACCCAATGTTCTTGAGAGGAGAAACTTGTACTTTGTGAAGCAGTCATAAGCTTCTCTAATTCTGGAAGATGAAATACATATATTTTATAGTGAAATTCCATGGGGTTTGCTCTTTAGTAAGTGTGCTTAGGATTGCAGCACATTACTTAAGTCCTTTCCAGCCATTGGAACCTTCTCGCCTCCAAGTATTCTGGGCAGCAAATCCTGTCAACCCCAGCCAGCTTGGCCAGTGGAGGAAGACTGAATTATACTATTTTTTTCATTTGCAGGGCTAGCCTTTTTAATCCAAGAATGAATCAGATAGATGGTGCTAAGTTTAGAACTGAATCGTGTTTCCTCTTGTTTTGGATCCCATCTGGCTATGAATGCATATCACAGCAAGTGTCACAACTGAATCTGCCATCTTTGCAACTTAGCAACATGTGAAGCTGTGGTCTAGTGAAAGATCCATTAGTTCATCTAACATGGCCTGCTTTGAATGACATTTGCAGTCTGGAATCTTAGGCAGAGGTCTCTTTCAACACCTCTGCTGCCTGAACTGAAGATACTAGGCCCCGAACCTGAGATCTTCTGTGTTCAAAGACTATAGTCCTGCTACTGTGCTATGTCTTTCCCAGCATAACTCCAGTTAGTACTAGCATGAGTTTTCATAATTGCTGGTAGCATGTTCTAGCAAATATCATTGCACAATTTTATGATACAGCATTAAAGCCAAGAGGAAAATCGCACGGATTTCATAGCTATGGATTTTTGCATCTGTGCACTGAGATTAAGCTGAAGAAAAGATGGGAAACACTTTGGGGAATACTCTCTTGGGTATCCTTTCTCCTTGATCTTTAGGAGCATGGTGCAAAGGGCACTGATGGGTGAGCAAGGTTGAAGGTGGCACTAATAAGATTGCAAGGAGCTGCAGAGGCTTTTGGTGCTTTTTCCAGGCAGCTTTCTAGCTGTTCCTGACACCCCATGATGATGTTTTCCTGTGGAATTGAGACACTATGACAAACCACCCTGAACCTTAAAGCCTGTGGTTCTCAGGGTGGCTTGTTCATGAAAAATAAGCTGTCCTGTGTAAACTGAACCAGATTTGGAACTCGTGTCAAGCTGCCATGGGTGACCACCGATGGTGGGTTGTTGTGTCATGAGAACCAGGTTATCGTTTCTGATTATAGCTTCTCATGAAAGTACAGAAAAGCATGATCACAAAATTGTTGCTTATCAATAGTTTCCTAGTAAACACTACGTTAGTTCAATTTGTTTAGCTAAAGAAGTGGTATGGTAATTCCTGTTAGAGAAACCTACCACTTGAGAGCTAGTATGTTGTAGTGGTTAGAGTCTTGGACTAGGACTGGGCAAGCCCTTGGCTCAGCCCCCATCCTGCCATCAATCTCACTGGGTGAGGATAGAAGTTGGAGGTATGGAGGTAGGTTTTGCTATAAATATTGTATAGTTATTGTCAGTGCACTATTACTTTCTAAGTATAGATCAGGATATCAGAATGTGATATGACAGTTTGGAAATGTTCATCCTGTTGGAAAAAAAGATATAAATTTATAGTTTCTATGGTTTATATTTATATCGCAGATTTTCTTCAGTTGGTTTTCATAATAACTCACAATAGCTTGCAATATTGTATTTATACAAAGTAATATATGTATGAAATGATAGATTTAATACAATACAGTACAAAATACCTCAGCCTTGATTATTGTTACATTGGGTATTGTGTGCAATAGAAGACTAATTTTTGGCAACTATATCTCTAGAATATCTTTCTACAACCAGGCATAATGCAACAATATTTCTCTTTCTAAGATTTCAAACTTTATGGGTTATGTCACCTTCTATTCCACAGAATGCTCTGAAATCAGCAAGTGAAAAGGCTGTAGTACAACACCTCAATATAACTGACCGCTGCTTAGCTTGGCTATCCTATATACATCTGATTGAATTTGGTAATCTGCCAGCCAAGTTCTATGATCCTGCCAGTAGCAACCCTTCAAAAATAATGAAGAAGCAGCCATTTTTATTACCTTGGAAGACAGTTGGAGATGTGAAAGCTAATCCTGATACATTGTTAGCTGTATTTGAAGGTAATTCTACCAGTATGAATTCAGTTGTGAAATATTACCTGAATCAATGCACATAGCATCTTTAAAATAATTCTATATTTACTGCCCTCCTTATAATGTATTATCAACATAGAGGCTATGGTACTTGCTTTATCCTAGAAATAGCCAATTAATTAGAATCAAGACTATCTGTATAAAACAGCAGCAAAATAATGGTTGGTCAAAAATGTCAGATGAATATACAAGAGGAAATGCCTTTCGGTAATTTGGAATGATGGAAGTTAAAAAAGGAAACAACCAAATGCAAACCTTGCAACATGCTAAATGGGACTGAGGAATATTCACTTAACAGAATGCCACTAGTGTGCAATGATTACTCTGTAATGGTTTTATAGAACAATCCTATACATGCACATTCAGAAATAAGCCTTAATGAGTTCGGTAGGACTTTCTTCTTGGTTAGTACAGGATTGTAGCTAGAGGACTTTATTAAGTTTGGCACTAGAATTAATGTAAATTATATCGTGCTAGTGTAAGCAGCTTTTCATGACCAGCATTTGCGGGTACAATGTGTTTCCCTAGAAAACCTGTTCCACCAGCAAATGCTAAATGTTTGGTATTGTGCTAGATGCTGCTTATACTAATACAACGTAATATGCTAGCACTAGTGCTAAATTAGATGTCTCCTGTAATGTCTCCTAGACATTAAAAGTATATTGCAGGTGAATGAAGGAAACAAGCAGCCTCCACTCTGATAGCATGAGATTGTGCCTTATACTGACAATCCATCCATGTTTAACTATTCTAAAGAATTATCTACATGAACAAACACAATAGGCAATGGGATTATATTAGATTTCTAATCCCTGTAAAAGCCAAAAACATGGAACTTCTAACCCTGATAATTGAAACACTTGGTTTTTGATTGCTTTTGTGGCATGTTTCATTTTTTTCTAAAAAAAAGTCCTAAAGTGGTTCACAAAGGCATAATATAATCATAATTATAATCGTAATACAGTATAATTAATACCTTTAAAGGTCTACAGTGTTTTCAAGGTAGGATTTTAGAAAAGAGTTTGTGAGAGTTTATTATAAGAAAGAATTTGAGGTACACATTCTGCTCAGGACTTAGAACCAAAACTGGTTCTTGCCTTTCATAGACATCTGAGATTTCATGTGTTCCTGTTATATCTTGGAATATACATATGAATAATTCTTTAGAAATAGTTGGGTTGGTTTCTAAGCATAAAGCACCATTCTACACTATCCAAGTAGAAGTTGTTTGTGTCCTTCAGTCACTACATATACGTAGTCCTACATTCTATTTAGGACAGTGTATAATTCTTACGCAGACGTTAAGGACAGTGAATAATTTTTAGGAAAGTTAATAGTTGATGGATTTCAGATTGCACATGGTTAGATAAAACATCCTACAACTCCTGGCATTCCCCACGCTTAGTACACCTTTAGAAAATGCAGCCCTTCCTTCTTTTGAGGTAACTCATGAAAATTCTCCATAGGTAATTCTTTCTGGCAAGGTGGCTGATCTTGTCTATCACATGCAGGTGGTTAACTTATAGTTATTCTATGGCAAGACTTTGTTTTTGTGATAGTGTATTCTTTATTCCATGTTTGTCTGTGTAAGATGCCATCCTGTCATGCACCAGTGAGGATACATCAGATGATGAAAAGAGAGTTCTTTGTCTTCCTTTGTACAGAAACATGCTAGTTTTGCAGCAGCTGCTAGAAAGGTACAATTTTGTTGTTTGTGCTGGAAAGTTAACCTTTTATTATGCCACTTTTAAATTTTGTATTAAAAAGCAGAGAATTCCAGTGATAATCCAGACTTATTCCAAATCATTATTGGAAGCCGCCCCGAGGCTTATGCGAATGGGGCAGCATAGAAGTTGTCCAAATAAACAAACAAACAAACCTTTTCCACTTCTCCCCTGTCCCACACATTCACAGTAAATACAATTTGAAATGTTCTGGTTATTAACTAAGAAGAATACAGCATCAAAAGGAGAATGTCTGTGTTAGCATTTGTATTTTTTAAAAGTAATTATCAAAAATAATATCTAAAGAGTGATAAAACTCACAAAGAGCCTCATTAAGTGCCTGCTGTCTTTTTTTAAAGAATCCACTTTTTGTGCAGTTGTTGAAGGGAAACACTTTCCTTTTTTCATTCAAGGTGGGAAGCTGCCATTGAGCTTTGTAAATCACTCCTGAAACTAAACCCTATTGATTGTCAACTTTTGGAAACTCTGGTTAGTTTGTACTTGCGGAGTGACGAGGTTGAAAGAGCTTGTGATGTATGGCTTACAGCATTTGAAAGAAACCCTCAAAATGCCCAGCTTTTCTACTTTATGTGCAAATTCTTCATGTTTCAGGTAAATAACCATCAGCTTACTTTAAATGTAGCCCATTACTACAATAAACTTGAATGCTTGCCCAATACAAAATGGTATTCAAGGTTCATTGCAACACAATGGTTTGATGAAGGATTTTCTCTAGAACTTGGAGGAGATGAATTTACATTTTTACTGTCTGTGATTGCTTAAAGGCTAGAATATGGATCTGGACATTATCTTTCATCAGGTGACAGAGCATTACAAAGGAGCATCAGTAGTTCATGTCAGCTATCCATTTCTTTTCCCTTGTGTAAAGTGCTTTAGGGTGAATTTACGCATTCAGTCTGGGATGTTGCTGCAGAGTTCAGCCTTGCATGTTAAGTACGTGCAGCACAGCAGTTCATGCTTTCTCTGTCTCTGCTTTTGTGTAATAGCTGGGTTAAGTTTCTTCTGTGTATCACTCACTAAGATGGTCCATTGAGTTGGCTTGTTTTCAAGGAAACAGAAGAATGTATTCAGCATAATTTTGAGTTGTGCTAATTACTTTGCAGTAAAGTCTAATGTCATATTTACTCTTTCATGACAGAAGAGATCAGATAGTATTCCTCCACTGTTGCAAGCCTTTGTTGCAGCATTTTTTGAGGGCGTACATCAAGAGAGTAGTCCTGTGGATCTATTAAAGTAAGTGTAGCAAGTATGCTATCATTCTGTGCTGGCATGAGCATAACTAATGCAGCACCTTGCTTCTGCTGATTATAGTTTTGGTAAACTATACTTGTAAAAACACTTGTTATATTTTATTTATTATTTATTTAGTTTTTATATGCCATCCAATACTAGAGTCTCTGGACGGCTTACAAAAACAAAAAAGCAGCAAACAGCATGCTGCATCCAACCATTACTGATAATATCAAAGATAAAACTAATTAAATGTTAAAATATTGGGAAAATGAAAAGAGTTTTGCCTGTCACCAAAAAGAATAAAGTGATGGCACCAGGCAAACCTCCCTGGGAAGCATGTTCCAAAGTTATATTTTGTCAGTCTGTGGTTTACTTGCATGTTTCTAAGCTTTGTGTGCATAAGTTTATGATGACTAGTTATGACTTTAGATTTTACCCTACAGTGAACACTGATTCACAGACTTGAGTTATTTTGTGGTTGCTTGTGTTTGAAAGTGGGTATGCAAAGTAACCTTACATGATTTCAAAGTAGACCAGAGTTACTTTAGTTCTATCCACTAGTTTTATTCTGCACATAGCACAAAGGTTATGTCAGGACCAGTTTGTGCAGTTTGTACTAGATGCAGTTTGTGCAAGCCATTGTAAAAGCACTTCTAGAACTCCATTTCTATATACTAGGCATTGTCCTACTTACTCTGCCAGCACTTGAATGTTGAATGGCCACTAGCAGAGCAATGTCACTTCTTGCACGTTTTTCACTAGTATTATGTTAGATATAGTCCAGCGTTTGAAAAGCACTGCCTAATTCTGTGTGAGAGGCTATTATAAACCCATTCTTCTGCTAGACTGGCAAGCCCAAGCTGAAATGACCCAAGTCAACTAGCTAATACTGACTTGACAGTGATACAAAGCATAGAGGTGTGCATCTGCAGCACCCATGGCTTCTAAAATAGGCCCCAGCAACAGGCACCTACTTCAGAAGCTACATGAAGTACCTGTAATATAAAGATCCAAATTCATTCATGTAAATTTAAGTCAGGCACCCAGTCACTGAGTTACAAAATACCCCAGTGGATTCCCTGTGGCTGAGACTTTTTCACACATTTCAACAAAATGTGCTGATTAAACACCTCTTAAATACTTTCTGCACTATCCTATGGTTCCTGTATACTTAGAGGAGCAACTGCTTGAATACTGGGGCATTGACACTGTTAAAAATAACTCAAAATGGGCAAAAATGGAATAGGGCAGCACTCAGCAGAGGAAACCACTGACCTGTCTCAGTCCAGAAAGAAACATACCTGGTCATTTTTGGATTTATTTTTAGAAGTACAAAAGCCCCATTGTTCATGCAGTTGCTCTTGCAACCCCAAAGGAAACAGCAGAGGTAGAGAAGTCCCATTGAATACTTTTATCATGCCATTGCCTTTAGCACTCATTTTCACCTGAAGTCAAGATGCCACAGTTGGAGTGCAGCTGCAGTCAGAAGTAGCAACCGTGTATCTGGTCCCTAGTTCAGCTGATCATCATCTTGGCATTTGATAATACCCTACCTTGCATTGTGGGTGGCTGTTGGTAAGGAAATGCTGTGCTCTATGGTTAAGTTGTACAGGAAAACTAGACAGATGGCTACTGCTTTTCAGTGGCTGGTGAACAACCCATATTTTGTGACATCTGGTTCAGTTATGTCTTGCCTTGTAGCTCAACACAGTAGAGCATCCACTCTCTTCTTCATTTCAATCTTATCTGACTTATATTGCATAGAGGAGGTTAGAAATGATTCCATGTAGTGAACATTTTCTCACTGAAAAAGGACTCTTTCTTGTAGATATTCTTTGAATTATCCAATGCCAATTGAGTTTACACCTCCATTGTATAAAGGAAATTTTACAGAAGAGATTTTAAACCAGCAAATTCCTTACTTGTGGCAAATCTACTGGTGAGTTTTTCTCCCCAGAATCTAAGAGTGTTTAATAGTGTAACAATGTCCATGTGAGAGCTTAGCTTAATCCGTTCTTGCAGGGACAGCTAATCTATTCTTACAGTAGAGCCAATCTTAGGAGGGTGGAAGTTAAGTCCTAGCAATACTCTTGAATGTTTCTAGCTTCCTTGTGTGGCCAGTGTTCTTTATAATATTTTTATTTTGTTGTGGTGATATGAACATGCACAAGAGGTTCCCTGTGCAGCTCTTTCCCCCACACAGCCCACTCTTCCTTCTGTCATTTGCATTTAGTGTTACGAAGAATTATGAATGTTATGAATTCTGTTGTAAAAGTAATGAATAAACTATAAGGTAGGATGTGTTTTAAGGTATGTAGATGAGCCCCATGTACCATATTTACGTGCTGAACTATATGAAAACATAACTGGAGAAGCTAAGCATGTCAGCCTAAGTGCAGTCTTCAAATCTGCTCAGCACTGAGCAATTCTCATAGTTTTGTTCATGGTCTTCATCTTAGGTCATATCTGTATTGGGTAAAACCTCTGCATTGTTGACTGCAGCATTGCTTCTCTAGCAATGGGCAAAAACCCCAAAAAACAAAACCAGAAAGAAATGGTGAACAGCTGTTTTGCCTTTGTAGATTAACCTGAAATTTATTTATACGTTATAACTTAAGCCACTTTAATAAGTGTAACTTTGGTACACTTATTCACTCTGCTGTTAAGCTGGAAACACTGGCCCTTGCTGCACATATTGCTAAACCATGATTACCCTTAGGCTCATAAACTCCCCAGTTCCCTCTTCTTCTCCTGCACAGAAGAAGGCCTGCCCAGAACTTTCCGCAGTGTGTTAAAACTATATTTTCTGGTTTGAGGCCAGAGTTAGTTGAAAGTAAAAATGTTACAAAATCCTGACTCTCTGAGTCAGAGAGGAGTAGAAGGGCATGCGACTTCACAGTTTCATCACACCTAGTGCTAAACCAGCCATCTTCTACCTGGTGCTCTCCAGATATTTTGGACAATTCAGACCATATTCAGCCAAATGGCTGGTAGTGAGGAATGCTTTGTAGACTAAAACATCTGAAGAACACTGTGTTCCGTGCTTTATTGTTACTTGCAAACCAGAGCACACTGACTCACTTTTGAAAATGTTGAGCTGCTGCTTGTATATAATGTCATGGTTTTCCATAGCCCTTTCCTTCTAGAAGAATAATGTAAAATTTGAAAATCTAACATTGCTTTCTTTCTTTTTAAAACAAAACAACCCCCACCCTCCAAAAATCCCAAATAGTTTATACCAGTCTCTTCATGGAAGTTCTGCAGAAGCAACAGATGCCTATGAGGCAGCCTTGGGAGCAGTTATGCAAGAGGAAATAGTTCAGCAAATTTGGATGGAGTAAGTTTAAATGATCTGATGTTTCGTGACCTTACTAGAAGTTAAGTAATTCAGCAGTGTTAACATATGGGCTTCACTTCTGTTTTTCAGTTACCTCGTTTTTATTAATCAAAAAGTTGTCAGATCCAACAGTCAAGTTCAAGAATTCAAGCTTTTTACAGATCTTGTGAATAGATGTCTTGTTACAGTCCCCACCCGTTACCCTATTCCATTTAGTACTGCTGATTACTGGACCAACTATGAATTCCATAACAAGGTATTTCAAACTCATGGTAAGGCAGTACCTTTATTAGAACCTGCACTGCACCAAATTGTGAACAAGTGTCATGATCTCCAGTTCTCCCAATCAGGCAAGATGTTAGGAGGGGCACAAGGCTGAATTGATACTGAAGTCATGAAGTCTGCATGACCAGATTCTTAAGATGGAATGAAGGCAGACTGTCATGCATATTAGTTTGCACCTAGGACTGCTGGGACAAACAGATAATGAGCTCTTCGCCCACTCTTGCATTTGCCTGCCAGCTAAGGTGAAACACATTTGCTGAGAGACTTTTACAGGAGGGTGCTTTTGTTATCATATTTGGCATGTGGGATCCTCTGGGCACCAGGTTGACCACTGTGTAAACAGAAAGCTTGAACTAGTTAGACCCTTGGTCTGATCCTACATGGCTTCTCTTACTTTCTTAGATCCCTTAATAGACAGACAACAACAGTAAAATGAAATATAGCCTTTTTGAGTAGCACACTAGTTTTTAAAATTAAACTAGAGATTTATTTTGAGTAGAACAATAAAAAACCAAACTGAGTATTACCTAGTAGTTATAGAAAAGGAAACCATTGAACAATAAAGTTCCATCTTTGACTAGTAAACATGTATCATCTTTACATTCCTTATATAAACACCTATGAAGAAAAGTGAAATGCTAAAATACAGAAAATTCATCACATATGGGAAAAAAATTGGGGTGTGTGGGCAGAGTAAATAAGCTAGTAGAATATGAACTTTTTAAGCAACTGCATCAGATGTTTTATAGACTGAGGATTTGAGGGAACTATGGAAGCCTGGCATGGTAGAGCCCTTGTCCTGAAGAGGACAGGTTGCTTGTCGCCCTCTTTGTCCAGTGCTGAATCCCTTAAAGTTCATTAGGCTGGTTGGATTTCATCCTTGGCTGATACCTGTCACATGCTGTGTTACCTGATACTTTGCTATCCACCAGCCCTCCCTGTCTTTTTCAAGGACTCACTGCTTCAGCAAATGCTGAACAGGTCTGGAGTCCCAAGTGCTGCTCCTTCCTATGAGACATCTGGGTACCAGTAGTACCTGGAAGAGCTGTCCAGGCAAGTCAGTACTGTTTACTATACAATTGAATTCAAAAGGGTGAATGTCACCATCATACCAGGCAACTGGAATTATCTGACTTTTAAAAAATTTAACCTTTACAGGTCATTTCCTTTTATCTGAGTTGTATTCCAAAGTCTCAACATTCCAAAGCGTTGGAACGATTTTGCTCTACTATGCCTGTTAATCCTGGACTTGCACTTAGGTAAGAAAGCATTGGTTGAAGTATTTAAAAGTGCGTGCGTGCGTCTGTCTGTCTCTACTTGCCATCTTGGTAAGTGGCAAGCACATTAGGTAAGTGGAGATTTTTAATGTCTCTCAAAGATACAATCTGGAATTAAGTAGTTTAAAGCAAAGAGAAAAGCTATGTAACTAGTATTTTATTTAAAACTTAAAGGAAGGTTTAGAATAGTTTTCTTAACCACATTCACAGATAAGCAGTCATTCTTAACAATTCTTGAATCATAATTGGTTGTTGATAATTTTTATCAATTTAATTCAGTTTCCATGTGTGTTGTAGAATTCTAGATTGGTTTGTTTCCCAGTATCTGTAAATTGTATTAAAATGTAGCAGAACTTTGGCTAATCTAAATTAAAAAATGCTGAGTGCTGATTAATAAAGGTATTTAGTATTATAGCCTAGTATTTCTCAAATGGTATCTTGGCTACTTAATTTGCTTAAATTACAACATGTAAATTTATATAACAAATTTGAAAATGAATTATGTAAATTTACAAGTTGTAAATTTGTATAGAGAAGACATTGAGAAGCCTATTGTAACTTTAAGATTGTTTAAAAATTGAAAAAAGCAATAAATACTATGCTTTTATTTCTGTTGGATATAAATGGTGTGTTTCAAAGTGTTACATCTTTATTGGTATTTGGTATTTTTACTCCATAGCAAATTTTAAGATAGGAACTAAAGTGTGCGTGGGAGGGGGTCTACAGGAAATTTCAGTTCTTGGATTTTTAGCGGTATTACTGAATAAGACTGGAAGCATCAGATTTATACCATGAGCATAGTTGATATTTGAACACTGAACTTTTGAAGCTGCTTTAGGCTGCTTACCATACTTCTTTAACAGTTGCTGCAAGTTCCCGTGTGCTCCTTTGTCATTCCAGGCTGCTTCAACAATATTGGGAAGAGAGCAATGTTCAGATCCTGAAACTGCAAGCCAAGATGTTTTCATATAATATCCCAACTTGCCTGCCCATCTGGAAAATGTAATTCAACAGTCATACACCTGTTACCATAGATACTATTTTTTAAAAATAAGGTTTGATTTATACAGATAAATCTGAAATAGCTTTCCAGTCGGTTTTATGCTAGAAAGGTTTTTCATTACTGCAGTATTTCAGCGAGCTTTGGTTTAGAAAGATACCTGGCACTAATGTCGTAAAATGAGGACTCTTGCTTCCCCATAGCAAAATAATGCAGAAGTAAGTATGCCTTGTGTGTATAAGTAAGGAAAATGTATTGATAAATTTTCTTGTTGCTACTTTGGAGTGCTCTACCATTTAAATTATTGACTTCTGTTTCCTCCTCCTTTCTACCCTCCCCCTTTATATATCATAATAGCAATATCCAGTGATGATGAACTGATCATTGTCTGCAGTGTTTGTACATAATTGGAACAACTGAAATGTCTTGCTCATGTAAGATTGTTTATGAAATGGATCTTTTTTTTGTCTCTTCACTATAGATTACCATCATTGGGAATTAGTCTATTACTTTCCAGGACTTTTATAGTTCCATTCCATACTCAGTGTTCTTCCCATAAATCCTCAGTGTTCTGCAAAAATAAGTCATTTTTATTTCTTCCCTTCAGAGCCATTGCTGCTGAGAGCTTTCTAAAGGGACAGAGAGAGGTAAGGAGATGTGACAAAAATAGCTAGTTGCTTGCCTCATATTAAACCTGCTTGTCAGGTTTAATAACATCTGCATGCTGAATTTTTATTTTTATGAATTACCATTATTGACAGAAGCTCTAGTATTCTGGGTAAGCAGATTTGTAATGTTTGCTGCCTACTTTTCTGTATTCCGAAAATTTTGCCACTGACTGAGTTCTAATATCACAATGGCTTAAGTTGTCACAGTGTGAATGGCCCGTACCCAATCACATTTTTAGGTGATGGGTGAGCAAACCTGGAGAGGGGCACATAATGTCCAAATCAGATAGTATGTTTGAGTATGCCTATTGAAATTCTTATTGAATTCATATACTAAGTTTGAAAATGGTTTATGATGGTACCTTTGGATAAACTTAACCATAATTCTAGATCTGCACATCATGGAAAGCTATTCCCTTCCCTGTTTATGTGCTTGCACAAAGGAAAGTGCAAAGTTGGAATAAGCTTGCTGCATGCATTAGCTTGGAGTTCACTTATGTCATGATCTATTGAGCCAGGATTTGTGAATGCAAATAATTCCACTTTGTCTACCATCACATGAGGAGGTAAAGCAGTTTATGGTTAGGTCTCTTTCCCTCTAAATGCAGAGTTATTGTGGAGGTGGTGGTGGAGCAGTTCATAAGTAGACATGGTTTTGCTGTCTTATCTGCAGCATTGCAGCTTAAGTAGTTTTTTTGCTTGCTTATTAATTTCTTTTTTTACCTCACTTACATTGCATTCCTGTATATGTTTATCTGGAAGTAAGTCCCCTTGATTTTGGTAAGACTTACCTACAGATAAGCAGGTATTGAATTACAGCATTAATGCACAATGAAGAGTTTTTATCAAAGCAACCAAAGTAACTTAAGTTCCTCATCGAAAATGGCTTTTCCTACACTGACAGTTCCTAGGTGACTGGTGTGATCTTTTAAAACAGGCGTTGATGTAATAAACCAATTTAATCAGTCTGAACTAGGGATACATTAGGAATCTTTAACTTCTTCACATTTAAAATGCTATCAGCAGACATTTGTTTTAGTTCTTCAGTTTTATAAGCTATGCACTTACTAAAGATCAAAAGTTTCTTAAATTTATTCATCACCACTAATTCACTACATGACAAACTGCCTACTCCTGACCTGTATTACAGTCATAAGACAGAAAAAGGTGATTATGCTACAAAACTTGGCTCATGTTGGGATAACATTGAATTGGTTCTTATCTCTCCTTTACAGGTCCATCACTTATATCAGAGAGCCTTTCAGAAGTTACCCCTTTGTGCATCCCTGTGGAAAGATGTAATGTTTTCTCCTTATGTTTTAGTTTAAGGTTTCATTTCAATTTTCTGCATATGCCATGTCCATCGATGTGGTGATATTCAAGCTCTGGCTAAATCTTATGTCTGCTTCCCCATCTCTTACAGCAGCTCCTGTTTGAAGCATCAGGAGGAGGTAAAACTGATAACCTGAGAAAACTAGTTTCCAAGTGCCAAGAGGTTGGAGTCAGCCTAGATGAGCTTTTAAATTTAAACACTTACAGAACAGAAAGCACGAATCGCTGAACACTGGGTGCAGTCAGTGCTAAGTCCTATTAAATGCCAAAATCATTTGAATGATTCTCCAGGCTGATCTCTGGCTTTAGGCCTGTGTAAAGCAGATGAGCAGTGCTGAGCATATCAAGTCTCTCTGGTCTGCTTTCCTTGAACCTGGAAACAATTAACATGGTCGCCTCCTTGGATAAATGAATGCCCTGTATGGCTTGCTTCTGGGCCCTGCCAGGCTCTCATAACATCATGTACGTAAGTATAGTTCATCCCAATGACAGACTTAGAATGTGTTAATTTTTAATTTTCAATTTTTCCTTTTCTTTCTTCTGTGCTGTTCCTGATTTCACTTGACGCTCGCACTGATGCCTAAGAGATCTGTGTTTTGCGGTTAACTATATTGGCTGTGTTTACATTTAAAAAGAAGCAGTCCACTTTGTTTTCTTTTCCCCCCTTCCGAATCCCTTTTTGTTTCATTTGGGAGGTTGGTTTTCACTGCAGGATTTAAAACAAAAGCAGCCGCTTTTAAGGAAAGTAACTGCCATGGCCACAAGTATGCTCTTTGCACTTGAAGGCTCTGAGGGTGGTTTAGTGCCCTTTCTGCATTCTGGACTTGTGGCGGAGACTTAAACTTGAAGATTAAAATTACTATTGCAAATGCCAGTGCATCAGAACCTAAAGAGTGGTCAATTTATTATGTGCAATTTTTTGTAAAGAAAATTTAATTTATAATAAAAGTTTAACAGTTAATAATATTGAGCTGATTTGTATTAAGATACTACTCTGTAGTATTGCTATTGTTTATACAAAGATATTTTAAATATAATTTTTTAAAAATCTTTTGTCTTCATGGTCATTATTACTAGTATTAGCATTAGTATTATTACTATTCCCTGCCTTTATTCCTTTTGCATGAAACTCAAGGCTATCTATAAGATTCCCCATCTCTCCATTTTATCCTCACAACAGCCCTATGAGGTTGGTTAGGCTGAGAATCTGTGACTAGCCCAAAGTCATCCACTGGGGCAGACCTCCAAATACCAGTTTAACACACTACTCATGTACCACACTGGCTCCCATCTTCATATGGGACCATAATCATAAGCTGCAGATATCTCTTAAACAACACGCTACTATTTTATTGGACAACTTAAAATATTTAAAGGTACATAGACATGCACAACAATCTCAAACCGCTAGACACGTGTGCCAAAATGGTTGAGCTTCCTCTTCCCAGCTTTCCCTCCTTATTTATTTTCTTTGGTATCGTTGTCTTTAAAATGCCCTATAGAATTGCAGAGGGATCCTGGTGGTAACTGTATCCTGGAGCCAAGCATTGGGGTGGCCTGTACAAGCTAGAATTAATTTCTGTGAACTTGTGACTACACCACTGATTGGGCCAAGAGTAATTATGCATTAAATACTCCAGTGTTCTAGAGCGTTCAGTTGTTCCTTCAGTCCTCCCTTCTGTTTCTTTACTACCAACATTTTAAAGAGAAATTAAGCAACTCTGTGTCAGACAAATACTGATCTTTCTTAGACATAGTACCCCCTTGTTATTTAGCTCATAATTATTCCAGTGTAGAGAGAACCTGAAATTATTTTTCTCACTTCTACAAATGGTCCCTTACTCATTTACTCATCCATAGTTCTCTAAGTGGAGAACTTTTTGAAAAACACACATTCTCTCTGTCTCACATACTTTCCATTCCTATATGATATTTCTGTGAAACATTGTGCTGTTTGTTGTATCATAACTTTATGTGGAATGATATTTGTAAGCTGTTAGGGTACTTTATTATGCAAGCCAGCACAAATTAGGGACAAACTCCCATTGAACTTGGTGGTGCTTATACATTGCATTGTTAGAGTTGACAAGAAGATTTCTTGAACTGTAAAAGGGTAGTACATTTTTGAAAACATAATTTTTATTTACCATTTTAGTTTTTAACATTGTAGTACTAAACAAGCTGCAATAGCAACACTTGGCCCAGAAGCCAAAAGAATGGGAAGGGAAAGAAGTTTGGACTGAGATGCTTATTGATGATGATGAAGAACAATACACTTTGGGATTGTCTTATATTTGGGGTGGAGAAATTGGATTAGGCATAAAAGTAATTGGATTCAAGTTACAGCAAAAATTCCCGTCCAAATCGTTAAATGGCCCATGTGAAGAAATAAGTAACAGAAGGCATGTTCACACAATATTGTCAAGGACTTGGTTCCTTACTATACTGGGGGGATGCCCCTTCTAATACTGCAGTATAAATTTATTGGTCACTAAACTGTTTATCTGATAGACCCCCATATTAGGAGTCTATAATTCAACTATAATTGAGTATCAAAAATGAAAGCTCAGTTCCAGAACAAGATTATGGTGAACATGAATTTCAAATGAAAAGCTGCCCTAGGGCCATCCTGCATCATATGAAGGAGAGTTCTATTTTCCAGCCCAGAAAAAGGTTTTTCCAGGTATACTAGTGTCTTAGCACTCTATTTCAGTCTCAAAAATGGAAGGTGCTAATCAAACAGTTTCCAAAGCATAAATCCATAGATATTTTAATGAACTTTCTGACATTATTCCAGTCTGCTCAAATCACCTGTGTATCTCATCTCATAGTTTTGCTGTCCTGTATGCAAAAGGAAAGGAGGCTTATAAAACTTAGCTATCTTACATGAATTCACTTAATTTCAAGTTCTGATGTCTTCTCAAATCCAGAGCAGGAGTATGTTTCAGTTGCAGGTATTGCCATTTGGCTGATATTGGGTCTGCCATGTTGGGTCTGCAGTATTCAGGGAAATGTTGGGTCTGCAGTATTCAGGGAAATTCATCTGGCCTGATCAGCTCATCACACTGCTACAAAGATTCATATTACACTTTGGCCACATTTGCCATAGTAATAGCCTATGTGAGCAACTTAACTGTCTGGATTGCTGCAAAGTACAGTTTTACATGAACAAAAAATTCTGATCCAGGATCTTCACTAGGGGCATGGCAGACCTCCCGAGCAGCTGAAATTAAAGGTAGTCCCCAAATGCATGTTCAGCTCAGTACTTTTGGAAAATGGAAGGGCCTGAAGAAAAAGCTTTTTTTCAGAGCTTTGCACACAACAATCTGCTTTTGTGGTATGTTGGCAAGTCTGGGAAATTGAATTCACTCTTTTATAACTGAAAACTGGGAAGAAGCTGTATCCTAGTTATTTGGCCAAACATGCTGGAGTATATTACAGATATTTCTCAGTGTGAGTGAGCTAGGGTTGCATTTTTCTTTTAAGAATAACTTCCCCACAAGCTTAACATCAAAAAGATCTACCTGTCCAAATTCAGTTTCATTTACTGCAAAGAAGGTCTAAATTCACCCTCCTCAGATATTGCAGAATATCTAAAGCCCTAAATACATTATAACTTTCAAAAATTACTTGATTTTAAAAAGTTTCTGAGGAATTAGCCTCGCCTGGTTGCAGTTCTGATTTTGTCCAATTCATACAGTACCCAGAGCACTGAATAAGTGAAAGCTGTTGAGTGGTATAGATAACTAATCTGCCCAGAGAACTTACATTCTTGGATGTTTAAAATAAACATAATAGTTATATATCCTTGTTTTCATGAGTAAAGCCTTGTATGGTCTTAGTTCCAAGCAGGATAAGGCACTTCCTTGTCTGGTACTACTTTTCAGTTTGGTTATGGCAACTCCACTCTGATTTTGGGGAGGTGCATAAAATTCCTCATTTCAAAAGTGTGAAATGTAGAATTGAAGTATTACATTAAACACATCTTGTCTCAACATTAAAGGATCACTTATTTGCTTTGAGTAGTTTACAAATGTGAGCTGCCTACTTGACATATAAATATTTTAAATAAATAAATGAAACTAATACATGAAAATACTAATACATGCTCTGGAGGATTTTCAGGTAAAATGGCATCCTAAGTGGTTGCATGGAGAAGAATTGCATTTCTTAAGGCCATTTCCCAGCAGCCACATCCAGCTAAATAGGAGCCTGGGACTGTGTGGCATCACTTCCTGTTCAGAAGGCTGGTTTACACCTGTCACCATGGACTAGTTCCTGTTACATCATCAAAACCTAACATTTTTGGAAAACTTACACAGATATGAGATTGATGGTAGTGGCTGGCACTACAGAATCCAGACATTGTTGTACTAAGCAGCACAGAACATTGGCATCAGTTTTGAGTGACTGACTTAACGTTAGTTTTGGTCTTGGCCCCCCTATGCTGAGAATGCAAGTCACAGGCTTGTGGAGGCAGGTGCTATTTGCTGTCAAAGTGGCAGCAGGCATTCTCAGCATTGACACAAGGAAGCTTCAAAGAGCTTTTTTTTTTTTTTTACTTTGGGTTCCTTTAACAGCCATCAAAAGATTGTCCAATTCTCAGTCCCCACAATAGCATTGGATGCCTGGATTTGGATGACATAACAATCACGTGTCCAACAACCTGTAGCACAAGCCATGGCCAGACAGGGTAACTTGCCCATAAACAAGCAACCCTATGGGACATAATCCATATTCACATGACACAACCCACCATGGTATCTCATCCACAATGAGTTGCTGAGCTCTGCAGATGCAACCAGTGAGCAGTGCACACTTTCTCTTGTCTCCATTACAGCCTGTTGGGGGTTGGGAATTTCCTCCCCTGGGTGTGTTCCTGGATTCCTCTCTGCCTCACCTGGGGTGCATAGCAATTTGGAGAAGTGCACCAATCTTCCCTTTCAATTCCTTTCCCCCTGGGGATGAGTTGTAGCTCAAGGGTAGAGCATGTCCTTCTGTGCAAAGGTCCATGGTATCTGGTGAGAAGGATAGTAGGCACGCATTGTGTGGATGAGGGCCTGGCTCACTCACAGTCACTTGGGTTCTTTCAGCACTGGGATTCTTAAGGTAGGGTTCCAGGAGAAATCTTTAACAACAATGGTCTTGTTCTCCATAATCTGGGAAAGTTTAGAAATGAAGAGACTTGCTACATTTTCAAAACTTGATTTTTTGTGCCAAGAAAAGAGTCCTTTCTGGCCCCAAACCATTGTGGATATTTTGATTACCTGATAGGGGTAGCTGATGAAGGTATTTTGGCTGAAGCAAGAGTGATGTTAAGAAAAGTGCTTGTGACTGTAGCCCAGCCCAGGAGGCTTGTTAGGAGTCTGACGGCCTCTTTTATATGTTTGCAGCAGAACTTGCTGCTGCTGGAAGTGATCTTAACCGACCTGGCTGGCTATCAGAGACAATAAAAAGAGGCATATTTCAACTGAAAACAACCCTTTGTAAAATTGTTGGCACAGATTGCTGGGATGTGTTTGCTTTTCCGTTGAAGGGATGGTAGCCTTATATTGTAAAAGGGTTCGGTTGCACCTGTCTGCATTGAACTGACCTGGCCAAGAGAAAAGACAGTAGCTTCTCCCAGGTATGCAGGAAGTGACCGCAGGAGAGCGACAGGAGAACATTTATCTGTGTTCCTTCTTCAAGCGTATACCTGCATTTGGAAGGCAGATCCCTTCTATCTTGTTTGCTCATGGCAGGTTGTGATATTTTTATAGCATGCATGAATTATGTATCAAATATGCCTGCAATATACATGTAAGTACAGTGTGTATTGTACTTAAAGCAAAAAATAAATAAAAAGTCCACCTCTGGCACCCCGTGCACTGGATTTGTAAGGCCTCTTCCCTCCTCACCTGAGAGCTGTGATTGCTAAAGCAGAGGATCCCACCCCTACCCCTACCCAGAAATCTCAATTTACATTCTAGTTTGAACGTTCTCATTGTGGTGGTTGTTGGGTTTAGACTTTTAGGGAGAAAGGATGTAAGTATATGGAATTCAGGAAGTTG